CATTTAATCAAAGTTTGAGAAGTATTTTTTTTTATCCTTAAATGGGAAACCAGCACGTCCCAGGATTTTTAATACAGTATTACATTTACTTATTGTATACATTGTATTTAAAGACTAAAGTTATGTGCTTTGCCTGTGCCAGGACTAAACTAGATTGTGATATATATTGCGGAATCTCAAATACATATTTAAAGGACAATGGAGTAATTTCTAGCAAACTAATGAATCTACTTCAACTATCAATCTTAAAAAAAATAATAATAATAAAAATTATAAACAATAATTTCATCTTGATTTGTTAATTTCCAAATTTGGTTTTATCTGAAATTTGAAAATATTGATTAGGAGGAACTGAAATTAGTCTGGAAATTGCATTAATTTTCGACATTCAGACAATCATCACTCTGTGGAGAATGAATGAAGATGGCAGACACAAAGTTACAAAGTATCAATTTATGGCATTATCTGCTAAACTGTTGAAAGATCGAAATTAAGAAAAGCCCTTTTCTTAATTTTGCTCTTTCAGTTCTTTAGTAAGTAACTCCCTAATTTGCTATTGAGATATTTAAAGTGACTCTCCAGTGCCAGGAAAACATATAAGTTTTCCTGGCACTGCAGGACCCTACATTGCCTCTCTCCATCCCACCCCCATCCCATGTTTCTGAAGGGGTTAAAACCCCTTCAGTGACTTACTGGAGTCCAGCGCTGATGTCCCTTGGTGCTGGGTCAGGATCCGCCTACTCTCCTCCCCCGCCGACATCAGCCGACGGGGGAGACCTAATGTGCATGTGCGGCAATGGCTGCGCACGCTCATTAGACCTCCCCATAGGAAAGCATTATTCAATGCTTTCCTATGGGTATTTCGGCGGCGCTGGAGGTCCTCACATAGTGTGAGGACGTCCAGCGACGTATAACACACTTTTCGTGTTCTGATAGCCACTAGAGGAGGACTTAACCCTGCAAGGTAATTATTGCAGTTTATGAAAACTGCAATAATTACACTTGCAGGGTTAAGGGTAGTGGGAGTTGGCACACAGACCACTCCAATGGGCAGACGTGGTATGGGTGTCTGGAGTGTCCCTTTAATGATAATAAATAAGGAGAAATCAGCTGAACTGAGCCCTAACCTGGCATCCTTAAATATGGCAACCCCACATAAGGGTATCAATTTAGGGAGTTATCTGCTAAATTGCTGAAAGATGAAATATTTGCCCAGAACACCTGCCTTGCAAAGACTTCTCATTGAGTTGCATTGGGAAGTCTGTGATTGGACAGTCACAAAACGTATAGGCCTGAGAATGAATGCAGCTGTGTAAATGCATGCAGGGATAAATATAATGTTGGAAGTGGTTATGGTAAAGATGGATTTAGCATTAAAGAGGGATTAATTTCAGAGTTAGATTACATATGGTGTTCGGTGTTAAGATTAACAGCTTGAGATGGGCTGACGTTGCAGTACAAGGGATGTTTATAATTATTGAGTTCAAGGCTTTAATGGGGTTACACTTCCGATTGGGGTTCATGGGGTGTTTAGTTTGTAAGAGGAGTTACACATAGGATTAATGTAAAGGTCTTATTTTCAGTTTTATGCTTTGAATGCTGGAGTTTGAAGGATTATTTGCAAAGTAGTCACTCTCCTATGTCCTCTTACACCTGTAGGGGCTGTTATACAAAGTGCATCTCTCAGTACTGTCCTATGAATATACAGTGTGCATCACTCAGAACTTCCCCCGCGCCTCCTGCAAGGCATATCCTGTGTGAGCGGCAGATGGGAAGTGATCTCTTATACTTCCTGTCCAGCCTCACACACAGACACTGGAGGAGCTGGAACAGCACTGAGTTTACTTCCGGGTTGTTATTCAACTTTTGGCTGTCTAGCTGAAGTCCAGCGTCAGTAAGGCAGCCAAAAGTCACCTAACCACCCAGAAGTCCCTCTAGTGGCTGTGTGGTTGACAGCCACTAGAGGCAGCGTTAACCTTGCAATCTAATTATTGCAGTTTATCAAAAACTGCAACAATTACAATTGCATGGTTAAACTGACACGGGCACTGCACCCTGACCACTTCAAAGAGCTGCAGTGGTTTGGGTGTCCATATTGTCCCTTTAACCCCTTAAGGACCAAACTTCTGGAATAAAATGGAATTATGACATGTCACACATGTCATGTGTCCTTAAGGGGTTAATGAAGCAGTTTTGGTGTGTAGATCATACCCCTGCAGTCTCATTGCTCAGTTCTTTGCCACTTAGGAGTTAAATCACTTTGTTTATGCAGCCCTAGTCACACCTCCCTGCATGTGACTTGCACAGCCTTCCTAAATACATTTTATTTAGAATGTATTATCTCCTGCACTGTTAATAGTTTGCTAGTAAGTGCAGGCGCCTCCTCTGTGTGATTAAAGTCAAATTTATAAACTTCTAAAGTAAGTTAACAAATAATTGAAAATGAAACTTTTTTTCCTTACCGGCTGTGTCAGTCACAGCCAGGGGAGGTGTGGCTTGGGATGCATGGACAGAAACAAAAGTAATTTAACTCCTAAATTGAATATAATTGAACAATAAGACTTGAGAGGCATGGTCTATACACAAAACTGCTTCATTAAGCTAAAATTGTTTTGTGGCTATTTGTAAGCTCGAATAGGCAAATTATAATATCTGAAAACAGGCACCCCCTAGTGGTCATGCACCTGTAGTTGTCTACACTGTTTAATGGGAAATACAGCCCTGCTTAAGGGGCAGCAACTTTGTTATAAGAATCAGAGCTTCATAACCAGGATGTGGCACAGGTGCCTAAGGGAACATGGTAAGATGTCAAACTACGCTATTTTGTAGTGGTTATGGTGCTCAGAGTGTTCTATTAAGTAACTTCTGATGACTATATAAAAGATGAACACCCTTTGCTAGTAATGCAATACACAGTGTCAGCGCTTAGTAGATTTGTCCCTGTGAGATATTCTCCAGGGTATCACAAAAACAAACTTGTGAAATCCGAGTTCCAGATTGGGTATCAATAAATTCTTCTAAATTCCAATAATAATAAAAGGATAAAATTAATTTCTGTGTCCACTTCTGTGTTGAACCATCTTGTATGCTGTTTATACCTTAAAAATTAAGGAAACAGAAAATAGTGTAACACTGTAAATTTTAATACCCTATATAACCCCCCCCCCCAATCAAGAACTCTTACAAGATAAAATAGTGCTACTTATCTCTAAGGACCACTGAAACAGCTGAGTGAACACTTGAGCCAGCCAGACTATCAGGTGGGTTACCAGTTCCTAGGGAAGAGACAGTGTCTGCTTTGTGCATTGAAGCTGACCGTCTATGATCTTAATTCTGAGGAACGCCAAAGATATGTCCCGCTGGGAGCTTGTGTGTGGTTACCAGATGCTGTAATATATGTCCGGCACCTTCAACGCGTTTCAACCTTCTCAAGTGAGCTTTCTCAAGATTGCATTTTTAACTTTGTAATTTGGGAAAGTTCTTTGCGTGTTCCAGCAGCTGGTATATATTTCATCAAGAAAAAGTAATAGGCGCTCAATCAGAGAAATATAATATAAGAGCGGGCTGCACTGACTAATACAAGGATTCCCACCTTGCAAATAGTACATATGAAAAAACCACCATGGTAAATTCATGCGTTCCAGCTTTATATCTATATAGACAGGGATTATACCGTCCAGGCGTTGATACAGCTGAGCTCTGATATAGCTCAAGCCAATGTGAGTGAAACTATATCCATAGACGGGGATTATACCGTCCAGGCGTTGATACAGCTGAGCTCTGATATAGCTCAAGCCGATGTGAGTGAAACCAACACATACCTCACGCTACTTAGACATTTGTACTTACTGTACTACACTATTATTAATGTCTTTGTTTCTTTCGAGGAACAAAGGTGTACAATTTCCCAAATTTGTTCTGTACGTATATCAACGTATATCATTTTATACATATACTTCTTTGGGCGTGGTTTCTTCTTTCTTTTTTGGTATATATTTCATGCCTATTGTATTTTAGTTCATTATTTGACTTGTTTATATTGTTCATTTTGCAGATTAAGGTTTGCATTAATTGATATTATGTTCTAATATTTTATATATCATAGCTATTTTTTGAGCTCTCTTTTTAGTAATTTTTTAAGTATATTTCTACCCTTCGGTTGTAGCACTGAACTTTTATTTTAATTACTTGAAGCATTGCAGAGAATTTAATCCAGGAGATTGGGATTGGTGGCGCTACCCTTGGGCCACCTCCAATGTACCGTTAACATACGCACCAAGCTGCTCCTTGCTATTACCAAGTATTTAGTAATTAAGGTTATTCAGAAAGGGACATGCGGAACGTCCGATCTGAAATCCCTGGCTTGAAAAGGGAAATTATAGCGTACCTTTTATCACTTCGATTTCAATTTGCTACAATTTGGAGTTTAATGAATAGACAAACTATTATTAAAATATTAAAAGATCTCTTGGTTCACAAAGCATTTTCTATGCATTTTAGGATTCCTGATTTGTTTCAGTTTATGGAAATATGTATAGGGGAAAAAACTTTTTTTTGACTTATAAATAAAGTGATTTGAATTTGTATACATTGCATAGTGGTAATAATTTCATAATTTTAGCACATAACCTGTATACCTAATCAATCACTATAAATGTATGGGAACCCATCACTATAGGGATTTGTTTATTAAGCAGTGAATTGTGGAGAATGACACTGTTTAACCTCTGCAGCCACGATAAGCCATTTAATAAATAGATATAACGCATATTAAATTGCAGCTAATAATGTGTATTACTGTGAAGCAGGCCAACAGCTGGGAAGATGGATGCAGAAATCAGTCTATTATTTATAACCCTCTATGCCCTTCCAAGTGGCACTCCCCCTTTTTAAGAACTGCACTGAGGGGCTAACCAGCACTACCCCAGTATATCACCCTCTGCATGTATTGCAAACCAGGATCTGTCCATATAACTTTCTGCCTGATATTACAAAGGATGCTTAGCCCAGTGGAACAGATACACAGAAATCTTAATGTGATCAAACTCTCATCCTGGGATTCAGCTGGGATGGGAATGCACATCACATGAATCCTTCTACAACTGATACAGTGTTAATTGTTCTCTGAATTCCATCCCTGCAACATTCCTTGCTTGCAGCCAGATGTATCAGTCACCTGCTGTCCCCCTGCCCTGCCTTGGGTGAAGCTGCTCTCCTGCAGACCACATTCAGTAGGGGCTGGGATGTGGGAGGCAAGTGCAGAGAATTTAATTAGACCTCATGTGCTACTATCCTCTGCTATACTGACTGCAGCTCTCCCTGGCTGTCATGAGATTGTACTGAGGAAGAGGACTGCTGGATCTTATTCCTAATACACATTTTTTGTTTTGTCACATCATCCCCCCATTCTGTGTCTAGAGGACATCTCACCCAGGTGCCACATTCCTTGCCTGTCTTGTTCTACACCAGGATGGAGCCTTTAGACACAGAGCTCTGCTATGCCCCGGACCACAGCATTGTGCAACCTTCTTGCAACGGGCAGACCCTTCAAAGCCACCCAGACCAGGCTACCTATAGGGGTCAGGAGGCACCCGGCACCCAGATGGATCAGGACCAGCAGATGAAGATCAGTGAAAGTGCCCAATTCAGTGATTTAGTGGAAAACAGAGGTGGGTGAGTTTCTGGAACTTATTTACAGCAGATTTAGAAGTAAAGACCCCCCAAAGACCCTCTAAATAAAGCAGTGACCCAGGTTGTGTGTTTTATGTATTTAACTCTAAATGTGCCAGGTGCTTCCACCCATCCTTCCCAGGATAATAGTGTGGAGAGGACACTTTTGGGGTTGCAGAGGCTGTAGACTGCAACTACCATCATTCTCAGCCAGGGATGGTAATTACAGGCCACAGCCCCCTGAAGTGTCCTGGGCTTCTAACTGTACAATTTATGTGGGTTTCCAGCTGAAAGTGTGTTGCAGTATTTATATAATGTTACTGGACAGTTATAATATACCTAGACACAGGAGAAGTCTGATTTCTGGATATATTTTGGAGATGGGAAAGTGCAGGGGATCTGTACAGACTCCCAGTTAATAGGATATTGATTGATTATTGTCAATCAGATGTCACTCTCTGGGGAATAACACATTACAGAATATAAATGACTGCAGAGGGAGAGAAAATAGATATTTCTTTGTTCAATAAAAGGGATAAAAACTTTTTTTTTGTATTTTAGATAAAACTTGGGTATGAAAATGCTAAGTTTCAGAGAGAGCCTGCTTGTGTTTTGACTTATAGCCATATGATTATTTTTCCTTTTATTTCTTCTATGTATCAGTGGGTGCCTGAGATTGCTGGGAATGGTTTTAGAGTGCAAGCTTTTACAATTTATATTATCTGATCCCATGGCAGACCGTGCGGTTCTGCAGTCATAATGAATGTGTAGATTAGAAGCCTGTCTCTGAATGGTAACCTAACTCTGGGGCGCCTGTGCCATTAAGAAGTGATGCCCCCATTGTTCTAACCCTGTCACATGTGTCAGCCTGCTGCTGGGTACAGGGACAGGTGGAGAGCATTTCAGACGCTTCAAGGGCGAGATTAATTATTTAAAAGGAAGAGTCAGGTCTCTGAAAGCAAGAAATCAAAGCACAGGCATTATATCGACCCCAGACAAGTTAATGGAGGAGTAACAAGACATGGATTGAACCTGGTGTTTAGCTATACTTAGATAGAAAGATAGAAAGATAGAGAAAGAGAGAGAGAGAGAGAGAGACTGATAGATAGATGGATAGACAGACAGACAGATGGATGGATGGATGGATGGATAGACAGACAGATAGATAGACAGACAGATAGATAGACAGACAAATAGACAGATTGATAAATAGACAGATAGAGGATAGATTGATAGAGCAATAGATAAATAGATTACAGATATATTATCGATATATTTATTATTGTTAGATAAATTATAGATAGATATATAGATAGATTATAGATAGATAGATAGATAGATATAATATAAATAGATTAGATAGACAGACATATAGATTTATGGATAGATAGATAGACAGACAGACAGACATATTAATAAATGGACAGACAGATTGCTAAATAGATTGATTGATAGATAGATAGATACATAGATTACATATATATTATTGATATATTTATTATTGTTAGATAGATTATAAATAGATATTTAGATAGATATATGATAGATAGAAATAATATAAATAGATTAGATAGACAGACAGATAGATTTATGGACAGATAGATAGTTAATAGACAAATATATTGAAAAAAGTATTATAGATATATACACAGCAGACAGACATTATATTTAACTATAAAAAGTAGATAGCAAAATAGATATATAATTATACAGACAGAAAGACAAACATCTGTTATAAAGATAGGTAAATAAAGAAAAATAAACAATAAGACAGATTGATTTTAGCGTAACTAATCTAAAATCTATCTATTTGTCCTTCTGTCTGTCTGTCTATCTATCTATCCATGTATCTATCTATCTATCTATCTATCTATCTATCCATGTATCTATCTATCTATCTATCTATCTATCTATCCATGTATCTATCAATCTATCTATCTATCTATCTATCTACCTCTAATCTTCCTATCAATAAATATTATTTTGCTGAGAAATGTAGCATTGCATGTCCAAGTTACTCCAAAATAATATTTTTGGACATTTTGCTACAATGTTCGCATGATCGATAGGGGAAATATCACCCTGCCCACACTTGCAAAGAACCATATTAGCATAATGGAATGTTATCCAGAGAAAATGGTCATTTTGATTAATAAGGATTATATAAATAGAAAACGCAAGAGAACTCGAGGTCCGAAATATAAATACCATATATGGATACATATAGATAGACAGATGGATGACAGAATACAAACATGTCACCTCTGATATCTCATTCAATAAAATCAAATCTCTGTTCTGTACGCCGTGACGTAAACAGTTAATCTTTCTACAAACAACAACACAATTTTGAGATGTTGATTCTAACTGGTTGACTGAGACCTCCTTCCAGCCCAGGGATTTATTTTAGCTTTGACAAAGGATTAAAAATGGAGAACAAAGCAGAATTATGAGAACATTCCTGCACCCATCTCAAACACCAGCTGGTTAATAAAATAGAGGGACCTACAGCCATACATCCTGCTGTCACATTGTCCCCTACACCGCACTCTGCGTGTTGCAATATACATCTTCTGGGTATAAATAGGATCATGGAAACTCAGTAATAGAAAGCGACAGACATAGGCCCAGATGGGTAGAGGGGGCGGCAATCCTAAATCTATTTTAGGGATTCTTCTGCTATAATTTATAAACGTGCGTAATTGAGAGATCTGTTGGCCTGCTTTAGAGAAACAAAATTATTGTGCTTTGCCAAGGAATATGTGTTTGATCACAAACCGGTATGGCTGTTATTATGGCCAACACTAACTATGGCAAGTATCACTACATATCTGCTATCGTATTACCTCCCGGGATGAACTGTTTAGCTGCTGGATGCATGTGCTGTGGCATTGTGCCACAGTGTCACTGAAGGGTTAAATAAAGAGACAGAGAGTTAACAATTAAATTGAAATTTTTTTAGGCCAAAATAATTGAGTTGGAAAAAATATATGTGCTGAAGGATTTCCCATGTTGACTACTATAGCCTAAAATGTTTAATTTCCCTTGTTCTCAACTCACGGTTTAGTGCAGGGATAGGCAACCGTTGGCACACCAGATGTTGTGGACAACATCCCCCATAATGCTCTTGCACCCATAATGCTGTCAAAGCATCATGGGAGGTGTAGTTCAAAATATCTGGAGTGCCAAAGGTTGCCTATACCTGGTTTAGTGAATACTTCTAAGGACCATAGGACAGAAATAGGCTATTACAATGTCACAGAATAACAAAAAATCAAACAGTATTTAAAAAAAAAAAAAAATTATAAAAAAAATTAATACGGAAATAAAATGGCCATTGCTGGTGAAGTATAATTGTGTCACTGGCTCAAAAGTCAAAATTAGAATCTACCTGTATGGATACATGAAGTGCCTATAGAATTCTTAAATCATATAACTTAATATAGCAGCTCCATAACCCCCCCCCCAAAAAAAAAACACATATTTTTATTTAAGATTTTATTGCCAGTGTTGATGTATTTAATATTTTCAAAAATCACTTTAATTTATTCTCAGCCGATGACATTTCAAGACATCCACAGTGAAAGATGTTTGCCTTGCCTTGGTCCCCCAGCAGTTGAAGAGCTCGGAACTCGTATAATTCTCTAGCCATTCCTGGCTTTATTGCGTCTGCATAAAATTGAAAAAACAAACACTGCATTTATCATAAAATAATACATTTACATACCATAAAAGCACAGAGACTAAGCAACTCACGTTGGGGTAGATTTTATTTTTCCAACTCAGCAATTTATTTTTATTTTTTATTGCACTACAGTAAACCATACACCACAAAGTACTGTTAAGTGAACAGACCGCCCTTAGTGATAGAAAAATAGTCTGTATTTATCGCGCTTTCTTTAATGTACTTTAGATTTAAAATACATGGATAAATGATAGGTGAAGTCAAATTTTAATTAAAACATGGAAAAGTAAATATTTTGAAGTAATTGTTAGGAGAGAAATAAAAACCCCTTATAACAACGCGGTGTAATATGAAACCATTATTCCTGTTTACGGCATATAGCTCACTGCAGATATTTGAACAGATAATTGAACAGCGAGTTGGGAAGAGCTGAAAACTGACTTGAAAATTCAAATATCAGATTCAGAATAAATGTCCAGTTTTGCAAATCTGGAGTAATTTCTGATTCTGAAATTAAGGCCTAAACGAACTATTTAACATAAGTGAAGCTTGCTTCCTTTATCTATTTAAAATTGCCCAAAGGTGAATTAATTTGTCCAGAGAATTCCTTGTTTGTTGGAAGATATCCTGATAACATCTAATCGCAGTCCTGCTATGGTATACTTTCTACATTTGGTACTTTGTATACTAAATGCGCAAACTCAGTAGCAATTACATCATTTAATAACAACATTGAAAATCACACAGAACTTATGTTAATGTTTTTCATGTGATGATTCCGTTTCTTTCAAATTTATATTGAAAGACTATTAAAGTCACCATCTCAATGAAGTGGTCTGGGTGCAGATGTTCTGTATCTCGAACCCCTTAAGGTAAAGCATTATTGTTTTGAAGAAAGGGCAATGTTTACTTTGAAGGGTTAAACGCACCTCTAGTGAAAATCAAAGGAAAAAAGGTTACCTGCGCTCTCTCCTTAATCCCTATGTATATTTAAACAAATGGAGGTCATTTAGTTACTCCAATGGCCAGTGGAGGGAATGCCCGTCTGCCCACGTCAAGGCAGACCCCCCTAGACGGGTCCTACTCTGACCCTTCAACTTGCTTCCTTGAGCTTCTGGCAAAGATCTCTAATGAGACAGAAAGGGGTAGTAGTGGTTGTTATACTGACAGCCACTGGACTGCCCGAGTTATAATTAATCACGTGGTGCTTGCGAATCAGATACCCAAAACATAATTTCAAAAAATCCCAGAAAGTGAGAGTCCTCTTTAACAAGCAAACTAATTAGGTTCTCTTGAAGAGTTCAGTGTTAAACATATGGCTGAGTTGGGCACCCAACCTTAACGGCGATCAGACTTCTATCTCAGCAAATTTTAAAGATGTCAATCTTCTGAAACTAGCTCATACTTTAGGAAATTATCCAGGTAGGTGTCCCATTATCTGTGCCTTGACTTGGTTGTAATTTGGTGGCCTCCTTTCACACATGTGTAAGTATCTTGCAAAGTTGATTTGTAGAATTTAACTAAGGAATGTTAATGCCTGATATGTCGTAACATAAAAGTTTAAGACTATCAGTCTCGCTGTTTGCTTGTATCACATGTTATGTATTTTTTTTTTGTAGGTTTATTAGAGAGCAGTACAAAGCTCAAGCCACATGAAGCCCAAAGCTACAGGAAAAAAGCATTATGGATATCGTGGACCTCCATCGTAATCACGCTGGTCTTAGCAATAGCGGCTTTCAGTAAGTATCCCACAATCTGTATCACCTAGTAAAGTCTGTGCTTTCATCCTATATTATTATTTTCCTTAATATTATTGTTATATGAGTAAAAGCCTTAATCTTGAAATATTTCCGATATACTGCAGAAACTATGCTGCAAAACGCGCCAGACATACCTAAACAACTGTAACATAAAATGCATCAGGCATGCGTGGACATTTCTCTTGTCTATTAGGTGCACTGACTATACATATTGTAAAAAAATAAATAGGTTATCATTAAGCACCTGCTGTCACGGTTGGCGGTCCAGAGACTGGGGCCCCTGTATGTCTGATGATGGTAGGAGTTACAGTGTGGAAATGAACAATCAGGGTCTGGTGCAGGGTAACCACACGCCCCCTGGTGTTGAGCACCAGGGTTTGTGCAGCAACATACCAGGACCCTGATGCAGCTTCTGCGGATCCCAGGAGCTTGATATGCAGATATGCATCCAGTACTAGAAACAAGGCAAGACTAGAATAGGCACCAATGGGTGGTCATTTGTGGTGTAAGGGTTAATGTGGAAGGATACATTTTAGCTGTTACTTGTTTTCAAGTCTGTCTTAGAGTATAGATTTAGTAAGTCTGGCAAGGATAAAAGGATGCGCTGACCTTCCTGGAATCAATACTGCACATGCAGCACTAGCCGCAGTGCCAATGCATGGTGTTATGCAATGTTATGCTCTTTTTCTGTGCGCTTAGAGAAGGGCAGATTATGCATAAATAAAACCATTTTCTGTGCAATAACTGTAACCTCTTCATTTTACACCTCCTAGGCAGCCAGGGTTGTCGACTTAAAGGGACACTATAGTCACTAGAACAACTACAGCTTAGTGTAGTTGTTCTGGTGTCACCTGCCTGTCCCTAAAGGCTTTTCAATGTAAACACTGACTTTTCAGAGAAAAGGCAGTGTTTACATTGCTGCTTAGTAACACCTTCAGTGGCAGACACTCAGATGGCCACTAGAGGTGCTTCCTGGGTGCAGCACTGACGTTCACCTCTCCACGCTCTGCATGGAGGTGCTGAACATGCCCCTTAGATATGCATTTAGTCAATGCATCTCTATGAGGAGATGCTGACTGGCACATAGCGGCATTTTCCCAATGAATGCACGATAGCTTCAAGCATTGGATTGGCTGAGATCATCAGCTGTGACAGAACCCATGCGGCACTGGGAAAAAGTTATTAAAATGAATTCAAGGGGTCAAGGGGATTTGGCTATTTAGGCCTATAGTGTCAGGAATGCATATTTGTATTCCTGCCACTATAGTGTTCCTTTAAATGTGAATTGTCAGAAATTTGTTTAAAGTGAACTCACAATAGCCAAAGTAAAAACAAAGATAACTGACAGAGGTTGTTTTTTTCATATCAGCAATATCCTATAGTCTGTAAGCTCGTTTGAGCAGGGTCCTCTCCAACCTATTGTTCCTGTAAGATTTCTTGTAATTGTAGTATTTATAGTTAAATCCCCCTCTCATAACATTGTAAAGCGCTATGGAATCTGTTGGCGATATATAAATGGCAATAATAATAATAATAATGGGCTAACATTTGAAATTCACTTTGAATTCCTGACAATTTATACTTTAATAAATAGCCCTGTTCATGATCTGTGAAAATAAGGAAGATTACGCTAGAATTGTCTTAGAGTCTGAACACCATATTCACTGAATGTAGTTAAGAGATCATTTATTAAAGAAATGTTGTATGAAAATCAATATGTTCCATTTCCAACAACCTGTCCAGTTTGCAAAATCTCTTAGAGACCACAGTTTAAGAAATACAACTTTTCATTCCTAAAATCTGTAACATTTGCATAGGCCCAAAACAGAATCAATCCAGTTTGCGACATCTGAATGGTCTTTTGTTCGATTTAACAGACTTTTATCGCAATGTAATAAAAAAAGAGGCCGTATAAGTTCTATGTATGGTTTGCAGATGCAATAACCTTTTTAAACAAAAGTATAGAACCCTGTTTTGGGTAGTTTGTAAGATAGGATTCTATTAATACTTACTCAAAGAAAACTTATCATTGCTGATGAAAGTATTTCACAATCCTGTAGCCAAAAAACTTGTGTGGAGGTAGTGGTTACTGTGTAGTGCGACCAACCTTCTTTACCAACCAATTTCCCCCCAATAAAACATGAGACATATTTATGGTATAAAACAGGCCACAGCTTTATTTATAAATTAACAAATATTATTTTCAACCAACAAATAACACTATTAACCATATCAACATGATATATATATATTTTAACCGCAGACTTGTCCTTTCCAAGCCATTCCTTCACCAAATCAAAGTACTCCTGGGCACCTGCCCTCCCCCCTTGTCCAAACACCACCTGACCTCCAACTTGGCCTCAACTTACCACCATGCTAACCACTTGCCGACCTTTTGGCTCAGTGGGCACGTCCGAATGTCCAAACATTTACCAGAGGTTAGGGGAGGGACCAGACCCAACCTTCCTTCTTCCTCCTGTACTCTTCCTCCAACCCGGCTTGGCAAGGACCAATCCCGCAAGCTGCGACAAGAGAATAGAGTTAGTAACATATAACAGAACATCATCAAGGGAGGAAGCTGTTACCAAGCCGTTATTTTAAGATGGCTGAAGTCAGGAGGCAAAATGACTGCCTATTTATATAGTCCAGCCCCTTAACCATTTCAATTACCACTCCCCATTTTACACCTACACTCACCACACCCATATGTGGATATTGTTATTAAAATAAATATTAAAAAATAAATAAATTGCGTTTATATCGCATGCCAGCATGTCAAGGCACAAAGTGGCATATAATGTAAATAAATTAAGGCCATAATATAGTGTATACAGGTCAGTGAAAATGTATGAGTCCTCAGGGAAGAATTTGCAAGAGCCAAAATGGCAGCATAGAATGAGGCGCTAGAACGCATGTATGTACGCGTAGACAATATGAAGATGGTAGTGCCATGAGATGGAAGTGCTGCAGAGATTTTGAAAAAAAAATATTTGCAATCAATATAACTAGTATGAGACATAGATTGAATTATATTCCTACTGTAAAAGTAAAGGGGGAAGCGGGGAGATTTAGAAAAGTTTAATAACAATCGAGGATTTTGGTGTCAATCCAAAGGTGAAATAACGAAGTAAGCATTACTGCTAGGGTTATACTGTGAAATCTGCAGCGTAGGATATGCAGGAATTAAGTGCCAATTCTCAAGAGGGATTATTCGAATTTGCTTGAGTCTTCTCTGCAAAATTTAGCATACATTACAGGAAGCAATTTATATAAAGAGAAAGGCTGAGGATTCTCATTGTATGGCGCGGTGTTAACATATTGTACAGACGGAGAATGCTTTGCATTATAGGAACAATACATGAACAGGCCGCCAGTGTGACAAGGTGGGCTTAAGCTAGTTATTGGACTGTGAATGAAGGTTTTTCACTTTCAATATTAAAGTCTAGAAGGCAGAAATGTTATCTCGCTGGCGTAAAAGTGTGAATATAGGAAAAAGAAATCGCTTTAGATGTTTTTATTATACAAACAAAGGAACTATAAAGAAAGATTTTGTGTGCAAACCAAAGGTTATTAGAAAGAAAAATGTAAACGAAGTACAATAACCACTACTGCGTACTGACTCCTCCTACTGTAAATGTCAAATCATTTTAGAATTCTGGATTTCTGTAGGCTGTAGGGGATGCAGGGCGCTGCGCCCAGCATACCACAGATAAAAAGACAAAGCATTCTAAAGCAGTTTGAAAACTTACATTTTGGGGCACCAGGACACTGTTGGCACCATAATCACTACAACACTCTGTAGTGGTTATGGTGCTTGGAGTGTTCCTTTAATCTCAATAGTGGATAAATCTAAATTTTAATAAATTTCAGAAAATCTATGCACAAACAGTTTGCATTGCTACATAGGCTCTAATTTTATATAAGTATATGGCAGTGATGGCTAACCTGGACCACATTTCACATGATGCTCAGCTAGCTTTTAGACTCTAAAAGCTAATTGAGCATCATGGGAAATGTAGTCCAGAAACTATTTATGGTGTCAAGGTTAACCATCACTGGTATAAGGTATACGTAGCAAAATATTATCCGCATTTATTTAGAAAAGATGCACAACATTTTGAAATATAACAAATATAACTAAACATCAAAGGAACACTATAGTGTCAGGGATCCGATAATCCTGAAAAGGTGAATTTACTCACCTTTTCTCCCACGCCATGCAGGTTTCACCATAGCTGAACCCGCCTGGCTCCTTCTCCATGGCTGCAATCATCAATCTTGATGATCTCAGCCAATCCACTGCTTTCCCATAGAAAAGCCACAATTATCTTAATTAGCATTAATTAGCTAGAGCTACTTTTGTTTTGAAATCCGCTAATAACCGTGTCCTCTTCCTTCTGTTTGTTGGATCCTGTCTCTCAATGGCTTATCTGTTCTCTGGATTGAAATTCTTTACTTTGCTCTGATAGGATCTACACATCACTTCAATTTTATAGGAAACTGCCACTTCAAATTAATACTGTGTTTACCTATCCTAATATTTAACAAACAAGTATTTGTGAGGCGTGAAAAAGAAAATTTAAATATATCAATCCATACTTCTTTATCTTTCAAATAGATGCCTTAATTTTAGCTCCCTGCCAATCATTGTTATAATCTCTGTCCTGTGCACCTGGAAATCAGCACATAGACAAAAAAATGGAGTTCTGCGCATCAAGTAGGTAGTGCACACCCAGGTGCTACTGCAGTTTATTAGAGGACACAATATAAACAAACGTTTCGGGCAACAAGTCCTTCCTCGGTGCTAATGTCCTACACAATACAAGCAGTACAGACAATATATACAAGTGAAAGAAATGCAGCTCGGATTTAACTGTTCATTACTGTGTTCTTTATTTTTGATAATCGGTGGGCATCATTGATGCCTCTGCCTCATCCTATGCATGGAAATCAGCACAGAGAGAGAAAACAGAGAGGAGGACAAATGAAACAATGTTCCTCTTCTATTGCTATATTTCCTCTGACTTTGCCTTGTCTGAACTGGATTATGTCATGATGTAATTTCCTCAATCCTTAAAGGGACACTATAGTCACCAAAACATCTTTAGCTTAATGAAGCAGTTTTGGTGTACATATAATGTCCATGCAGTCTCACTGCTCCATTCTCTGCCATTTAGTAGTTAAATCACTGTGTTTATGCAGCCCTAGTCACACCTCCCTGCATGTGACTTACACAGCCTTCCTAAACACTTCCTGTAAAGAGAGATCTACGGTTTATATTTCCTTTATTGTAAAATCTGTTTAATTTAGAATGTCATTGGGAAGTCTGTGATTGGACAGACACAGAAAGTCTGTGCTGGGGATGAAGGGGAGAGCTTACAAAGGCAGCAGTCAAGAGATCTACAACTTTTGCAAGCTGCTTTTAGCTACACCCCCAATAGGAACATGCATAATTAAATCCATGTATATTTTTATTGAGGGTATATGTACTAGATAGTGATTTCTATTTATTTTTGTATTTGGACACTGGAGTGACTCTTTAACATGGTAAATATTTATACAACAGTGCTACAATCAGTTATCCAGATTAGTTCACAATGAAGGTTTAATTATGTTTATATCGTTTATGTGCAGAAATTGGAGTAAAATTATGTCTGTATAGTTAATTTACAGGATTTGAGAATGTGTGGGAGTTGTGATTAAATTATTTTTCTATAATTTATGTTCAGGAGTTGAGATTAACATATGTTTGGAAAGTTCATATGCAGAAGTTCGGATTAAATTGTATTTCTATAGTTTATTTGTGGAAATTGAGATTAACATATATTTCTATAGTTTTTTTTGCAGGAGTTGGGAATAAATTAAATTTCTATAGTTTATTTGGAGAAATTGGGATTAAATTGTATTTCTATCATTTATTCACGGAAGCTTAATTAATATATGTTTGGGTAGTTTAAGTGCGGGCGTTGGAGTGAAATTCTGTTTGGATAGTTTACGTTTGGGATTCGGAGGATGCAATGTGTAATATAATGGATATTAATGAATATATGTGGTTATCGTGGAGAATGTATCGGAGTGATGTAGAATGTCACATGAAACAGTGAGATGATTATATGGATGTTAGGATTAAACAAGAGAAAATTGTGTGTTTAGTTTTAATTACGCCAAGCCAGATTATGAAGAACTGTGTTTCCTGTCTATCAACTCTGCTTTGATGGGAATCTATTTGTAACGGTGACATAGAAAAAAGAAACAACTAAAATAAATCAATACATGACATTTTATTTATCTTCACGCTTCATTGATTATTACAGATTAGCTGATTTTTAGTCAAGGAATCTGTTGCATGTTCATGTGATCGGTGGTCATAGTTAACACAGGATACACGCCATAAGTTATGGAGTGTTTATTCAATTTTAACAACCATCACAATATATATTTATTTTTACCATTAAGCTTTTATTGAAAAATAAAAATGTAGCACTCAGTTACGAGCACAAGTACCGTCTCATGGTATTCACAGTGTTCAAATACACAGAAATAGTAGGATGTACATCATGTATATTAGAATGCCAGGGATACTATAACCATTGTAACAGAAAAAGTATCTTGTAGGGTTACTAAGTGTGCGTAATGGCAGACAATGGTTATCCACCGCTCAACAAGCTAAATCAATCTCCTTAGCCCTCAAAGGGGTTAATGTAACAGTTTGGAGAGAGCTTGGGTAGAGCACACAGGATACTAGAAAGAAGAAGAAATAGCCAGAGGTAGATGATGCAAAGCCTGGTCAGATAGAGGAAAAGAGAGTCAATCACGTGGGAATCAGTCGAGGGAAGGCCCAGACCAGGCAGAGTCCCACCACCAGTGGCTACGAATGGCAACAACAAGGCTAGGGAAAGGAATCAGTGTCCAGTTCGTTCCCTCCACCGGAAGCCACCGAATCCAGTGAAACCACATGTTACATAGTTACATAGCTGGAAAAAAAACTTGCGTCCATCAAGTTCAGCCAAATAAGGTTTACTCTAGACTTTTGAAATTAACATGCATTACTGAATAATATTTGTTGCTAAAGTCTAAATATTTTAAATTATGTTTGTTTCTTCTGCTTAAACATTTGATTGCCACGTCCAGTTCTAGGGGCTTTCTTAAAACTAACCATCAACACACTGGACTGACACACTGACACACTGACACACTCCTAGCCCCACACATCTTAAATCAGAACCACAGTGTTAAAGAATATGCAGATAAGTGGAGGGCGCCGTTGCAATCAGGGTAAGAGTTCTAAATTACCTTTGACCCTGTCTCCCTTTTTTTTTTTTTGACTATTGAGTTATTTATTAAAGGGTTGCAGAGACGTTGAGATGTACACTGTTAACCTGGAAAAAACATGTGGAATCTATTCACTAAATATGGAATAGCAGTAAACTGACAATGAATTAAACATTTTAGTCCATAATAAACCGGCCTGCAAAACGGTCCAAATACAGAATTTTACCAGTCGCAGTATTGTGGCTTAAGTTTTATGTATCAGAAGTTTTACAAATCAAAGTTCAGTGAATGGAAAAAAAATACATTGACATCACTCTAAGGTATAGGAAATGGGTAGACAATGTAGGCTATTTGTTAATGTACAAATTTTATCATCACTTCTGGTTTAGTGAATAAACCTTTCTTTTTTATAATAGTTGTTTTGCTCACTGACTCCTTAGCATGCTGCAGATGACACTGTGATACATTGAGCATTCAGAAAAAAAATCAGGATACGGGACTCAGAAAAAGATTCCCAACATCTCAATGGTCGGAGTACTTTATCAAGGAGACATTTAGTCTATTCAGACGATTCTAAGACGGATTCTTCTCTGTATCGCATTTTGTATGAGTCAGCTAGAAGACCGAATGGCCAGATATTATTGTGATCTTAATTTAATAGATGAGTGTAGCAAAGTCTGCGGGCACCATGCTGTTTAATCATAAAATAAAAGTGTCCCTGAAATGAGACGTTGGTTTTCTTGTATGCTGCAACATCCTACGAATGTGTCTTGTATGAGGCTGTAGACATGAAAGCTTTGTTAACGCATGCTGAGCCTCAGACTCAACCATCGAACCCTTTGTATCATCAAAGACAGCTTTTATGAAACATTGCGATCCAGTTACCTTCAGAACTTATTCTCAGCCAATCAGAGGCATTTATTTGGGGATAAAAGCTCTGCACATTGACTTTTAAACTTACTTTTTGCTTCTATTGCTATTAAGTGTGATGTGTCAAGGTAAAATGCGTGCTATTCTTGAGCATTTTGCTAAAGGTTTAGAGATTTTCCATCTTCCAAGAAGCACTTTGCCTGTTTTAGTCTTAATAAACATCCCTCAGTGTATTTAGCAAGGTTAGGAGGTGAAGTGTACAGTTCAATAAGCCGGATAGTAAAAATTAGCATTTATCGTGTTCTAGAGAGCGATCTCCCTCTATGGTGCTAACAAACACGCACATACCAGTATCTGCTGCCATGATGCTACTAGAGCAGTGATGGCTAACCTTGACACCATATATTGTTTCTGGACTACATTTCCCATGATGCTTTGCTAGTTTTTAGACTCTGAAAGCTAGCTGAGCATCATGGGAAATGTAGTCCAGAAACAATTTATGGTGTCAAGGTTAGCCATCACTGTACTAGAGGCACAGATCTCTTGTTACGGGGGCACAGATCTGTCTTACATGCAATTACATACCTACTGCTCCCTCCAGTAGACCTCCGGGGGTTACTCCTACCTCTGATGCTGCCATTGAATGATACCTAAGTGGGGAGCAATACTAGGCCAGTACTAGTCCAGGATAAAATTAATTCATATGGGGCCTTGTTACTCCATTGTGTACAAACTGGAAAATGATTGGCCCAGGCCACACTTTGTTTTCCAGGCTGTGTGTGCATATTACAGTCTGTTTGTGCCGCACACTCGGCGATCACAGCTTAGTTTGCAGAGTCTCCTGAGAGTAGATTGCTGAGTTTGCATTGCTCAGCAGTAAATATTTCATACTTGCGGGACTGGAGGAACGTGCAGTGACTCTGCCAACTAATGAGCAGATTACAGCCTTTTAAAGCCCCTTTTATCTTCATTTAGCCTGTCCATTTTCCACACACTATGCACTAAAGAGTTCATAGATATCCCAGTAAACAGCGACTAATCTCCCTGCTCAATCTCATTCTATTTTTTGGCCTCGAGAGTCTGTTTGCTGTGAATATAAATTGCTTGGAAGTCCATAAAATAAGTCTTCTGCGGCATTATGCGTGCCGTTAACCTTTTCAGCACTCTGCAATGTGTAGAAAGAGGTGATAACTAACTACTTTGCTAATTTAGCCCTAAATCTGAAATCTATCTCTCACGTCAGTAAATAACCTTGTCACTGTACAAGGATCAATTGACAGATTCCAGGGGTTGGTGGGTGGATTTTTAGGGTGATTGAGTAAATTCTGAAGGTCTTGACCTGAATTAAAGGAGCACTATAGGGTCAGGAACACAATCATGTATTCCTGACCCTATAGGGTTAAAACCACCATCTAGCCCCTCTGGTCCCCTCATGCCTCCCTAAAAATAGCAAAATCTTACTTGTATTCAAGTCTGGAGCTGCTAACTCTGGCTCTGTTTCCTTTAGACTTGCCCACTGCCTGCTGACATCAGCCTGATCCAATCACAATGCTTCTCCATAGGATTGGCTGAGACTAACAAAGAGGCAGGTTAGAGGCAGAGCGATTGAACTGTATGTATGTAATTTGAGCGCCATCCGGTAGTAATGGGCGTTTAGATCTAAGCTATCTGGAGATAGGTAGAATGTGTATGTTCTATGTGATAAATGTAACAGTATGTAATTTTATGTCTTTTTATTGTCCTTTGTCTGCTTTGTGGTTAATGGAGTTTTGCCTCTGTCCTTGGAGATAATTGGATTACTTCCCAATTATCTCCAGGACAGAGAGGAGGGATTATGATGCATTGTGGGATTGTAAGCTTGTGATTGGTCAATGTCCAATATGTTTCCCAGTCTTACATCTGGTCCCCCAGGGGAGTGTCCACCAGGTGGGAGACCTGCATAAAAGCCGGGCAGGTAGCCTCAATAAATCAGTTTCTGCTTGATCCTCAAACGAAGTGTCGTCTCGTTCTTGGGGGGAATTGGATTGTATGCTGTTGCAGTGCGACTGCCAGTAGTGTAAGCTGTTGGTATGGTTTTTCCTGTTCGGCTGTTTAACAGCATTCGTGTGTTTCCTGTTCGTGAGTTGGAGGATTCGTATGGTTCCAGTTCGGGAGTTAGAGGAGTCGTGTAGTTTGCAGTTCGGGAGATTGGTGATTGCAGTAGCTGCCTGTGCATCTGAAAGGAGAATGTCGCCTAAACGGTTTTCAACCTCTTGTGTGCAAAACGGTCTGTTACACAGTTGAAATTCCATTTAGGTGCAGGAACAATAGGAATCCATCTAGTTGTAGAAACATGAATTAAGCTGTAGGAGTCTGTCTGGAGATTCAGAGCTCTCCGACAGGACCCTCTATCACTTTATAAATTAGTATCCACTTTTATAATGGCATTCTCATTTTTGAAGATGTGGAAGGCCAGATGGATGAATGGGTGGGCGGATAAGTGGGTGGAAGGGGTGAGAGATTATTTTTCTTTTTTTCCAATGTATTTTTTTCTTGTCTTCCTAAAACACTTGAAGATACAAAGTTGATACGGTAGCTAGACTATCATGACTGGGGGATCTACCCCCCAGTATTATTTTGCACTTTAATAATTTCTATTACAGAGTGTACTTCATTATATGTGTTTGCTTTGTTTATGCATCTTTACATTATGTTAAAGGGACATTCTAGACACCATAACCACTTCAGTTTATTGAAAAGGTTACAGTGCCAGGATAATGCTGTATAGCGTTGCAATTTAATTACTTAGAAAGTTAAAAAACAGGGTTTCAAGCTAGATCTTGTAGCTTTGCCTACAATCCCTGCAAGTTAGAGAGCTGTAAAAAAAGGCACTTTGTGGCTCCCATACCAACTCGTACTATTGAACTGGCATATTACTGCTGAAGTGAAGAGACATGGGGAAAATGCTTTGCGGTCCAAAACTTGTCCTTGCGATGATTGGTGTTGTGCACAACAGTGTGCATCCAGCACCACTCATCAAGGAGGCAAGCTGCACTTAGAACTTTAAGCGCTCACTCGCATTTTGCACGCTGAGAGCCAGCCTATATTATTCATTCCCAGCTCACTAACTGACAGGGTTTATAGGCTGAACTACCATTTTTCATTAAAAACCCTCTTTGGTAATTTTGCTAAGGAACTGAATTGTTTCACTTCATGGACATCATCGTGCACCATCACCACTTCAATAAACTGAAGGGATTATAGTGTCTAGAGCGTCTCTTTAATAAAGCAAACCACCCCCAAAAAATAACATTCATTGGGCTAACTACCACTTCATGTAAAACAGTATCGGGCAGATCATACAAACTGTGCTAGTATGAATATCTTAATCGGTGTTTAGAAGCATAGAATTGTTCAAGGGGTAAAAAAACATTGGAAAAAAAACATTAGAAAATGCTCTGCCTTCAGTTTCGTTTCTGCAGTTATTTTTCTGAATGAAAGAAAATCCTGTCTATTTATGGGAAAGCGACAGTTGATATTCCGACACATTGCTTAACTTAGTGTTCTGATAAGTAATTGTAACTTAGTATTCTTACACATAGCTGCAACTTGCTATTCTAACGCATGGAAAAAAAACGACACGTAGACGTAAACCAAGATTATCATGTGTAGCTTTAACTCACTCTTCTGACACATGGGTTGAAATTGTCATTCTGACACAGCTCTAACTCTCAATTCTGTGTGTAAGTTTAGTTCAGATCCTGGTTCCTGACAAATAGCGGTGTTCTGCTATTTCGGACACAGAATCGAGTCGGTATTCCAAAAAATATTTTAACTCTGTGAGAGTTATTTTGCAAACTGTGAATTTTCATTGAATTCAAATTGAATGTCAAATCTTAGATCATAATAGCCAAAATTTTGCCAAACTAGCTATTTTAGCCTTAAAATTTCAAATTTACTTTAGGAATTAATCCCAAAACTCACAAAAATCACAAAATTGGTGATCAGTGAAATTGCCAAGGTGTGAGAATTTATACAGAGTGGATAATGTTGCTTCAATTTCTGTTAGATTGTCTGTCTGTCTGTCTGTCTATCTGTCTATCTATCCAATTTATTGTTTTGCATTGTATCTTAAAATTAAGCTGTCCTTCATTCTGACAAGATGGATACAAAATATCAGAGCTTTGTGATCCCCGTGGACCTGTGGTCTCATTATAGAGCCATATAGTGTCTCTTGTGATGCTGCAAGGGATAATATTATATTCTGGCCAATAAATCAAGTCGGAATCCAATAAAAAGATTGTGAGGGATGTGAGAGAAATCAAATTACTGAGGACTTTGGTATTTCATCAGGTTGGGAGATGGCAGACATTGTTTATCTCGGCTGATAGTTACCAGAATTGTGCTAATAACTCTTTTTGGTTAACCCTCTCATTCCTCCATCACAGAGTATTGTAGAGCACGGCTGGGATAGGCCTTTATGTTTTAACTACATCCACTATTGTATCTGCAGATGCTGATAGTTGGTCTGTTTTCATATCACCACATCACGGAGTCCCTCAAAATACCATGAGGTGGTGAACTAAATGCAGATATAGAATATTATTCTGTACAGGAACTGCTTATTTCAACCTGGTGGAGCTGTGTGATGTTAGTAAAGTTAGACTGGACCGATTTCCTCTTTATAGAGGAAATAAATCTGAATACAAAATGCAGATAAATGTCACAAGGCTTCTAAAAAAATGGATGGCGCTATACAGTAATAGATGTATTTGGTAGGTATTTTGGGACCATCTTTATGCTTTGCACTGACACAATGTTTCGACTAGATGGAAGAGCAATTGCCCTGTCTGCCTGTCCCCTAATAAACTCATCAATAACGAGATGACGTATGTATTATCTTTCACTCTGAACCAGTTTGCAGAGGCAAAGTTGCGATCACAGCTAAATTCACAACTTATTCGTGTTACATTATAAAAGTCTCACTGTATATTTTAAGCCATTTAAAAAAAAAAATGTTATGATGTGAATCCAATTCTCACAATTTTATTTTACTTTTACATTCCCAGAAAGTGTGTAAGGAAAATAAGGGTAAAATATACTTTAGATGATTCTATTCAGTCATTTGACTGGTAGCTACTAGTCTAACCAGAAAAACTGTTACACCTATGGAATTGTAGATATGAGTATCTCTATTTTATGTTAGCTTTTTATTCTTTGTGTAAGTATCAATGTAATGTAGTAACACTGCAGGTCAACCCATCCTGGTGGTTACTTTACGTAAAATTGTATTGAGTAGACGTAGGGTGATGTAATATTGGAAATATAATGAAATTAGGCAAAAAGGATACAGAATCCCACTAGATAATTTTTTTTTCTTTTTGGTGAAAACCAATCCTGGAGACGAAGGAATGTAAGTGAAGCTTTGCTGTGAGTTACAAGCCAAAAGGTAGCACAAATGTACATATTATTGGGAAGGAAAGGGATAAAACCAATCATAGTAACAATTCAAGCAGAAAATGTGATTTGTAAAGGTAAGTACCACCTTAAAAAGTCCCTATGCACTATAATAATGCCTATTTTAGTCGCTAAACACAAGAAAACAAATAGTGATATCATTAACAGTGCAGTTCAACACAGGACTGATTGCCTTGCTGCTTCTAACCCATTAATATTTCTTTCACCAAAATAAGACGTACTCTGAATTGCAACATAAATGCCAGATTGTAAAAGTGTTCTGTAATAAAATATATTTTTCATGAACCATCTATATGTGTGCTATGGATCTGAAATGGTTGTTTAATATCTATTGATGTGCTTAAATGTGTGTTTTGTGATATCTTCGCCCCACTTGCCATTGATCACGCCCAATTTGTTTGATTGCTTTTTGCATGTATATTAAACTAAAATAATTTTTTTTTTTTTAAAAAGGTAGCGCAACCAGTTGGTAACATGTAGTTAACTATTACATTGGACTAAAATTTTATGAAGTGACAGTACAGCTTTAATATTAAAGGAACTGTAACCCTAAACCCAATCCTAATTTTGAAATATAATTCTCAGGGTTTGCTATAATGTCTACAGAACCCCTATAGGAAAATATTTGCCTGTAATATTTATTTTACCATTATGTATCTGCCCTTTCTGTCTCCGTCCCAAATCTGTTGGCCTTTTTTTTCTGCCAATAACTTGGTTGTTAAGAAGTAGTGAAGGGGGTTAAACTAGTTTGAATCTAGTTTACTGCAAAAATACCAAAATATCAGATAGTCAGTTACTGAGCAATTCCGAGGCTAAAGTATATTCTTAATCTGAAATTGAATATGTTGCCGATGTTACAATTCTGAATCACAAACAGCCTTTTTTACCCTGAAGCTTGATATTCCTATTTTGCCAGAGGCTAAAGTGCTCGCTGTCGTCAGAATGAAATATTATGTCATACATACTGCATGCTCTGCGTTCCACCGCACCTGTATTTTACTGGGACTGTGACTTCTATAAAACCATCATAGACAATTTCATATGCAGAGACAGAAGTACATTTTGCATTACACACAAAGGAGTGTATTGCCAATCTTCCTGACTTATGTACGTATAGGATTTGTGGTATTGCAGGCAATTGAAGGATGTGAATTTCTACCGAGTTGATTGTTCTGAAATTATATTTTATTGAGAGGTCTTAAAACAGGGAGGGCTTGTTCATACATGATCTGCTATGTATGAAGTCATATTGCTGCTCCATTTATATGTAACAGTACATGCCAGGAAGAGATATGCACAACCGGGATCTTATGCGTACATGTGTACACATGCACGCAGGCACTTTGACGCACACACACTCACATGCATGCACGCACTCACCAAAACATAGACACTGTATCGTTATACACATACTGTACATACACAGAAACACTAGAGTGATAAAGTGTTATTTTAATGAGGAATCTCATATACAATAGCAATAAATCAGAATGTACATTGATTGTAACATTCACATAGGGCATAATCAGAGGTAACATTGTATTTTGTTGTGTGCGTCCCTTTATGTTACAGTATATTTGGTGATGAATTTGGCATCCTCTGTATTCCGATGGAATAGCCTTACTTTCCTTGCAGAGGGTGTCAGGGGATTCCTGATCCTTTAAATCTCTCTCTAGTTTCCATAGCAATGCCATGGAGACACAAAGAATGCACTGTACGCAGGTACCAAATAAGGAATGGACTGGAATCTGGAATCGGACTTAGGATGGCAAAGCTACTCAATCATTATTAAAATATACATTGACTACAGGGCAAAACAATCTTTCTCAGACCGTACGCCAATTCACACTTAATTAATGTGATTTATTTCCTAAACGCCAACACTGCGCAGCTTTAGATGAAGGCGGGGAGATAGAAAGGACGAAGATTTGCAGAATCAAAAAATGAATTAACTAGATAGAAAGAGACTGTTGAAGGAACGCTGTTCTAGACTGTGCTATGTCTTCAATTAGAAAAAACATAACCATTCTTTGCTGAATAATCACCTTGTGCCATGATGTAAAATGTAGAATTTTGACTGATGTAAAGATGAGGTAGGGAAGTATTTCATGTCCGGTTATCAAACGATGCAACTGAAGAGGGTGGGGTTTGGGTGCGCTGACTGACAAGGTTCACTGGCTAGACAGCTAGCTACCTCCTGCTTATTGCTGCGGAAAAGAGGTACAAAAAGAGTGAGCCCACACGTCGTCACACTGACAAGGTTATTCACTAACATGAGAATTCAAAGTGAATTACAGATGAATTACAAATCTAAGGTTAAAATAGTTGAACTATGGAAATATTTGCAAAGTCACTATACTTTCAGTTCGGCCTTGAATGTGAAATCCACTTTGAATTGTCACTTTGTTAAATAAGCTCTGTGAATGTTCAGTTCATTCCTAATATAGAAAGAACTGGATCCCACTCAGTGTAAACAGCGTTGGCCTTACTAAGAAGAGAGAGGTTTTAGCCAATGGGGAAACGTACCTTTCTCCACTTCAAGAGTATTTCATCCAATGTGCCATTAATCATGGCTTCTGAATCCCAGACTGAGCTCAAGCCGGGTCGCACCTTGAAGATTAGTCTTTTCTCATTTATTAATGAAGTTTGAAGATGGGAACTTATACAAGTGTGAGAAAATGTTTTAGAGATTTTTGAGAGTTCCTCTCATTGGTAGCATAGTATATGTAACAGCTGTGTAGTAGCTCCACCATACAGGACCTGTTTATTGTAAGGACTGAAACCAAACTTTAACAAAAACCTCACTCCCTTCATGGATGAGAAATGCTGTGCTCTTGAGAAAGGCAGTATTTTTGTCAGTTTTGTTAGTATTTTTTCAGTTATGCTTAATTTGTGTAACTCTTATAAGGAAAATATTAAACTTATTGCAACTGCGTATCAAAAAAGCATGTCGTAAATTCTTGTTAGTATGTGGATTTTCACTCCCGTGTTCCAGATTAGATACAGTCTAGTGCATAGATCATTTTAGGATTCAGTTCTCGGGCTTTAATTACATTACGATTTCTGACTAATTAAAATAAATGAGAAATCTCTGTTTGACTTAATTTGAATTAATTTAGCCACAGTCTGTCCTTGCTACTGAAACGGATAAAAGGGTAACCCAAATCTATGGCAAATCCAGAAGACAATTACAGTTACTCATAAAGAGTTTTCTGGGGCAAAGTTCTAAAATGGAGCAATCAGCAGGGACATTCCATTTTTTAATGACTTTTTTATATTCATCTAATAAGTTTGAAAAAACAACCTCTCTATACAGGAAATGTCATGTTTATTGTTTTACTACAAACAAACCTTTTCTCTGCTGTAAGAGAAATCTTCTTTCTTCAAGTCTCGTCGGATGACTGCTTGCCCTTTGTACAGTCCTGTTAATGAACAGGTCACAAAAGAGCTGTTTTTCCAGGTTTCTGTGTATATTTTAAGAATGATGGGAGTTGTTGGCTACCTGATCTCTAAACCTAACTTTGGTTATATTCAGTTCTTGACGGGTTTCCTTTTATCATACTTCCCAACATTGGCAGTCCCAGAATCAGGATGCTGGTTGCAGGGGAGTAAGGAGGCAGGCCAGTGACGCCTGCACGGAAATGGGGACTGATCGGCTTGGAAAGGGGGCTTGTCCGCTAACATTACTGATTACACATCCGACTGCCCGCCAGTGATTTTAGCCAGCCCACTGGGGGCTGACCCTGTAGAGAGCACTGTCGACATTGCGACATTTGGGGACAGTACCAAATCAGGATGGTTTAAAGGACTGTCTCACCATTTTCTCATCAATCCAATTTTGAGTCTAAATAAATTTGAACAGGAGAGCGCAAATGTAGTAACTTAAAATTCCTTACAATAATAATGTAATCTAGCAGCTATTCACAAATAAAGTTCCTTAAAAATCTTTATCTAAATATGGACCAATTTTGAGTCTACTTGCAAGATTTATTACACATAATATTATTTCTGTTGTATACAGTAGAAATATAGTGTATAACTTGAATTTTCAAGCTTGTCTTTGCCCTGGATTTTGTTTTTATTACACATTTTTCTGATTTGCATGCTTATAACAGATGCCCTTCAATGACAATAAAGTAGATTGCATCTCTTTCAGGTGTGGAAAGAGTTAAATGTATTCCTGGGATTCTATAACTGACACAAAGTCAATATAAGGATGCCTTAATTCCATGTCTAAAATGAACCCCTTCAGGAATAATGACATGGCTGGACTGTCATGGTGATGGTTTAGCCAATCTTCAAAGGATTAAATATTGAAAAATACATTCTTTTCATTACTGTCAAGCAAAGACCCCCAACTGAGGGTCAAAACATGTCAGATCTACCGGTTTGATGGCAGGATATTCCCTAAACACCGAACTGTAACAAAATGAAAACCGAATCAAGACATTTATGCAAAAAATATTCAACTAAACTACGGTCATTTTATCCCAAGTGTTGTCATTTGGTCTTAAATTCGCTACAATTTGGTGACTTGAATTGAATGAATCCGTTTTGTAAAAAGGATTTTTTTCCCTGTAATTTTTCTGTTAATTGTATTAAAAAACAGGAAACCTGGACTGTAACTCATGTTCATTTAACCCCTTAAGGACACATGACATGTGTGACATGTCATGATTCCCTTTTATTCCAGAAGTTTGGTCCTTAAGGGGTTAAGCTAGATTTTATTGCTTTGTATGGAATTCCACACATTGCAGCTGACATAATCTAAAATCACTACTCTGAATAGCGTAAAGCGCTGCAGATAGTGTTGGCGTTTCTTAAGTTAAAAAAGAATAATGGGCAATAAAGTGTGAGCCCTTCTGCCAACAGCGAGGCAAACCTCTTAGGTGAGTCGTACTCTAACAATTTACCTTGCTGCTTTCAACTAAATGGCAAAAGTCTACCATGGACCCCAGTGTGTTCCCTGCTTAAATACATTTGTTTTTATCGATTAATAACAAATAGCCACTTGTGTCTCATTAGAAATTTTGCATTGTAGCTAAAAAGCATCGAGAGTAACTGTAAGTGATGGACTCAAAAAGATCTTCACTTTGATATTGACAGGTGAGCTTACACCTTTTTTGGATAATTGGGATAGTTGCAGGTAACTAACTTGGTTTTCTTTTATTCATACATTTAGTCTGATGAATACTATAGCTATTACTGTCACCCCAGTGTAGTGGGAGTTTTAGCTCTGGGGTAATTTATGATACGGATTGGGGACCAATAGTGGAATTTAGTATCAGGCTATCGATGGCTGAATATTTTGGTGGCATCATGAAGGGCTTCCACTCTGTGATTTTAAGTCCTCTGCCTCCCCCTGCTCCCCAATACATGCTATAGTGTAAGATGTGTGAGATGCCTGAGTGATAACTGGAGATCTGTTACAAGAATACTGGGAGAACGCTCTCTCAAAAAACCAACCACCAGCCTTCCCCAAGTCCCCATTGCTTCTATTTATTGGTAGAAATCAGTCAGTGATGGAACAATAGCAAAAGCAATATTTATTAACCAATGTGGATATTGATATATGTGCATTTCTGAGCACAATACACGGTAGTACGCATACCTTCTGGTTTCTGGATATTTACAGTGGTCTCCATTATACCCCATAGTTAATCCATTTAGCCTTAGTCTCAGCATTATAGTGTGAAAGTTCTTTTCCTGCTGTTACTTTGTTTCCTGTAGCCATGTATAACTGTGCACGAGGGGAGATCTAATCTATTCTTCACACTAGATCACATGACACTAGATCACATGACACTGGATCACACAACATTGGATCACATGGGAAAATGTTTGCCTCTGAATTTACAACTTTGGCCAGTCTTCTTAGAACCCATAAATAGTTACTTCAATGTCTGTGCTACGTCAGTGCATACATATTGGTGAACTTGCTGCTTAGCTCCACGCAACGCAATCTGTGCCAGTGATCAGTTAGAATGCAGGCAGCATGCTATATGATTTTTTTTTACTCTCATAGTAGAATTCTCTGCGCATGCATATATAATATGCGCAGTACATATACAGTATAAACAAAGATCCAAAGCTGGTTGTGTCATTGGAGATCTGAGCCAGACGTGGCTTTTTCAAAGGATGACATTGTCTTAAGTTGTTAATTTTTTTGCATATAGTAAAACGGAAGTGTACAGCTATAGCTTACAAAATTAATCCAGCTTTGTGCAACAGAGGAGAACACGTTAAGGGATTATTTCCACTTGGTATTACAAGTGCAGATATGAATGTTGAAAGGACAGTATGTATTCTAATCCGATTTAATGAGAATCTTTTAGATATATCACTCAGTGGATTTAAATAGCTAATTAACTCAGCCGTGTCTCAGTTGGAAATTTAAATGAAAAGATGATGATAATATTTTCCAGAACAAGAATACTATTTTCTATATAATTGACACATTTTATTGACTCATATTTTTAGTAAACATTTCCTTATTTTAATACATTATAGTATTTGGCACATTGGCCTACCATATTTTAAAAAAATATGTAATTTTTGCTGAACTGTTTTAACAGTTACAGTAAAAATAAGTAAAATGGTATAAAACATTCATTTTTGGGATTATTTTGTCGAATTATTTATTCAGTTGGTTACTATGTCACCTTTCATTTCTCCTTGAGGGTAACTTCTACATGACAGGAAGAAAATGAAAAGAACAGAAATTTAAGCAAAGTGTATATAATATATATTTATCTATTTTTTTTCCCACATAATATAAAATAAAGCACCCAATTTATGCAGAAACACACATGTATTTGAAAAAAAACACAGACTTCCAATAGCGTATTTTAAAATGTATTTGTGCCTTTATAACTTTAGTAACACTGTGACAGTATGTGTGTGTTTGTGTGCTTTTTATAATTCAGCACCATGGACAGTGGCTGACCAACAAATCTCTTTACATATTTATATCATAATGTTTAACCTGGAAACGCATGTTTAGTTGATCTTCTATATATAAGTACATCATAAAATCGATGAGTTTTAATACAAAACTTAACAATACTCATTTTATTGACCTCGGAAGCATAAACCCATGACTTCTAGCGGGATATCTTTTACAGAAACAAAAGGTGGGAATAATTATTTACTAAATTGGCATTTGTTGGCAATTCCTCGGGAATGGCTAATTCTTAATGTCAAATAGCTGGACAGGGGGACTTACATTTTTTTCCTGTTTAGACTGTTCTTGCCCAAAATTTGCAATTTCCCTGTGAATTCACAAGAATTTACAATTTAGTGAATACCCTTAATACATTTTAAAATACATTTACATGTTTCTCATGGACATTTGGCAGCAGTGGTCCATAACCTGTGTAATAGATCTAGATGTTCAACCTTCATTTATGAAAATAAATGAGGAAAAAATTACAATTTACTTTAGATAGTTTTATCTTGAACTGTTGTCATTATTTTATTATATAAAAACCCTGACGTCACTTTAAAGGACCACTATAGTACCATGAAAATGAAATTGTTTTCCTGGCACTATAGGGTCTTTAGGTTCCCCCAACATCAGGGTCCCACTCCTGCTGGGCTCATGGGAGCTGAAGGGGTTAAACACTTACCTTTCTCCAGCGCTGGGGAACTCTCCTCCTCCTTCCGACGTCAGTGCTGAATGCGCATGCGCGGTAAGAGCTGCGCAAGCATTCAAACAGTCCATAGGAAAGCATTTTTAAATGTTTCCAATTGACGTCCAGCATTTCTCAATGCTTTCCTATGGACGGAAGTGCCTCTAGCGGCTGTCAATGAGGCAGCCACTAGAGGCTGGATTAACCCAAGTGTGAATATAGCAGTTTCTTTGAAACTGCTATGTTTACAGCTGCAGGGTTAACACTAGGTGGACCTGGCAACCAGACCACTTCATTGAGCTGCAGTGGTCTGGGTGCCTATAGTGGTCCTTTAAGTTGGTAAAGACCCATTCAGCTTCCTCCAAAGGGAAATAATTATGAAATGAGTACATTCAATTTTCCATATGACAAGTAATAAGATGGATGTATTATTATGGGATTCATTTACTGCAGACTGAATGCACTCCAGATTATCAAAATCAGGTGATAATTTGGATTTACTCCAGATTCTCAGTTCTGATATTTACTAAAGTCCAATGCAAATCCATTGCTTAGGATTCACATGGAGTATTATCTAAATAGTTATTCAATTCATAAAATCTACAGGCCAAATTTAGTCATCCCTGTACTAACTAGTGTCATAAAGACTCTCTGGGCATGATGGGAAATGTATCTTTAAGATGCGATTGTTTATTATCACCAAGGCAGAAAGTTGCGGTGATACCCACTGTACACCTGAAAGGCTAAGTCAGCATTCTGCCACATTCTATGACATCTCAATCTGATTAATCGTTAATACTTTTTTCACTGGTTTTCCTGACATTTACTCAGAGCTATTGCAATGCAAGCACTTAAACTCATCCATTGCACTGACAGCTGAAAAATGGCATTGTATTTCCAGAGTTTGGCAAGCAGGTATTAATCTCGCCCCTGTAAAAGGTCATACGCAATATTGATATCCAATGTACTCAGCCACAGGGATGCATCGCTTACACACTGCAGTGGAGCAGATTAAACTGGTGGTAAAGGATGCACAGTGCCCGTCTTTAAACACTGCTTTGTAAGATACATCTATATTAGAGATGAGTGGACACCTGGATGTTCGGGTTCGCCAGGTTCAGCTGAACTTCGGCAAAAAGTTCAAGTTCGGGACTCAAACTTGACCCGATCTTGACCCCGAACCCAATTGAAGTCAATGGAGACCCGAACTTTTGGGCACTAAAATGGCTCTTAAAAAGCCATGGAAAGGGCTATAGGGCTGCAAAAGGAAGTAAAATGTATTGCCTAAGTACTAAAATACTTATCCAGTGGAAGAAGAAGAATGTTACACTGTATACGAATTTAAATAAAAAGTATACAAACGTAGCCAGGATTCAGCTGTAAGCATTTGCAACACTTACAACAATCAAGTAACACATTCATATAAAATGTAAGTTACTTGGCCAGTCAATGTAATGACCAAGGTATTAGAGAGCTATCCACTAAAAGGTTTAATGTCCTCCCGCCTGGCCCCCACCCCTGAGCGGTGGGTGGGGGCCCTAAATACCAATAAGGGGGGATCTATTGTCCTCCCCCTGGCCCCCACCGCTGAGCGGCGGGTGGGGGCCCTAAATAAAAAATTAACCCCCCCTCCCCAGGTGACAAGGGGTCCCCAAACTCCTAGTCATCGCCCTCCCCAAAAAATTAACCACTACCTACCCCCCTCACCCTAAAAACAATGAGGGGGGACCATTAGCTAAGTACCTCTAAAAAAAATAAATAAAATAAAACTTACCATTTGATGTTTTCTTTCTTCTAAAATCTTCTTTTTTCAGCCCCAAAAAAGGCCAAATAAAAATCCATAAAAAACGTGCGCAAAAAAAATAATCCATCTGAGCTCTTATAAAGCCTTGCCCCGCCCTGCAATAAGGCTCAGAGAACTCTGATTGGTGGGTTTAAGCCATCCAATCAAAGTGCTCTGACAGGTAAATTAAGAGACTGACAGGTAAGTGTCTACATTTACCTGTCACATCACTCTGATTGGTTGGCTTGAAATCCACCAATCAGAGTGCTCTGTGTCATTTTACATAGCCTGGGAAAGTTCAGGGGTGGGGGTCGAGGGGAAAGGACAATAGGTCCCCCCCCCCCTTATTTTACTTTAGGGCCCCCACCCACCATTCAGGGGTGGGGGCCAATAGGTTTTTATTTTTTTTATTTTTTTTACAGTGAGCAGCCACTGGCTGCTCACTATTTACTAGACATGCCCCTACTCGCTGTATAGCGAGTAGGGACTGAATTTACTAATACTAAGTAATCTTTACTTATTAGTAAATGTAGCTGAAAGACCAATTTAGGTTTTTCAGCCTTTTGGTAGATAGCTCCCTAATACCGTGGGAATTAGAGAGTTATCTACTAAGCGGCTGCAATGAACTGTTCCTGAAATGTTCGGGTTCGGGGTCAAAAAATCATAATGTTCGGTACGAACCTGAACTTTACAGTTCGGGTTTGCTCAGCTCTAGTCTATATGTATTTCGGTACTTTAGAAAGGATTATTCATTAAACTGGAAATGAGCAGGGAATTACAAATTGTAGGATAACACAGTTTCAATTAAAATAAAATCTACATTTAAGATTATTTTTTAATTTGACTATTTTGGCACACAATTTTAAATTCCCTTGTCTATATCCATACATTTTCACTTAGTAATGTCCCCTGATTTTATTCTCGTTTTAACAGTTACCTTCCTGTCCTGCATTGAGAGATTCGACATGTTTTGCCTGGGTTGGCAGGTCCCTGTTAAAATGATTCCATAACGAAGATTGCAAAAATGAAACAAGTGTATGCACACTCTGGCATAGAGCATGAAAGAAATCCTAAATGTGTTTGTACCTTCCAGGCATTATACAATTAGAATTTTTAAAACCTATAATTTCTAATTAATTTTTTTTTTGCATCTCAGAATCCTTGCAAATATTATTTTTTGAAATAAATAGCATTACGTAAATTAGGTACAAGTGCATTGTAAGATACATTTCAGGATAAGATTGATGCCAGATCCGGACATATTATCTTAATTTCAGGATAAGATTGATGCCAGATACGGACATTTAATCTTGGTTGTGTGACTTGGAGTTCCCCGTGGACCCCTTGACATTACACCCTAATATCATCTGGAAAGTGATTCCTCAAAAATGAGCAGTTGTGTTGGGATAATTTATAAATTTATATCACAAGCAGGGATTGTAAAAGTGCTGTCCCTTTTATAGATTGCTAATGTTCCCCTATTTGTTTTTTTGACTTTTTAACATGGAACGTTCATTAATACAGTAAGTGTACTGAGGGAATACAGAAGAGTATTTGGTCTATGGTAGGGGTGCCCAAAAGGTAGATCCCAAGATGTAGAACTCTAACTTCCATGATGGTTTGCATGCTCTTAGAATGTCTTTAGAATGACAAAGCTACAAGTAGTTTTAAAACACCTGGGGATCTACCTATTGGGTACCCCTGGTCAATGGGTTCTCTAGGTCACACCTTAGATGTGTTGGCCATTTTCCTAGAAGCTTTTATGTTCTACCATACCTGCAATTGGCTGTCTAACCATAACACTGACGTTAGTCAATAAGTCTTTCAGTATCCCTCGCTTTTGTTATCCCTATCTCATAAACAAGTTTTAAACCATGTATGGGATTTTTCTCATAAATTCATTTTAGGCTTGTTTTCATTCGTAGTTCCTGTTTAACTGGCGCCAAAATAATATCTCTTTTAAATAATCTTTCCTTTGTTAATTTAGAACTGTGTAATTTTATTATAAAGTTAAAATATTTCTAAAGAACAAGAACAATGCTTCCAATGGACCATATTCTATATAATAGCCTGCAGCCTCCTTTATAAGATGAATCAGTTACACGTTGCTTTGCATTGCGTAGGGAGCCCTACAGGAAGTGCATATTTTAAGCATCACGGCATGATATTTTAGCATTTCTTGTTAGAATTATCACGGATTGTGTTGCGTAGTGTACATACATCAAAGGAGTGCTGCAATTAGATCTTCCCCCTGCTTCTTCTGTCTGTTAGGTGTAGAGAAACGCGTCAGAATGAGAGCTGTGTTTGGAAGAAATCTCTTGAGAATCAGTCAGTGAGAAAGATGTCTTTGTTGGATTACAGTTTGATAAAAAAAAGTAAATTTTATAGGTTTAAAATACAGCATCATATGTCATTTCTGTTGTCAAATATTTTGACTATTTCTTTAGCAGTCTTTGGCTTAACATTTCTTATTTTTTATTACCTTAAACATCTATTAAAATATTTGGATTCATTTTTAAATTCATTAATTTAACAAGAATTTAAGAAGAATGTAATTGTCTTTGTTAGAACTAAATATAGCTTGGTTGCTCCCTTTAAGTGCTGCTACAAAGTGTGTGCTTAGAAATATTCTGGAGAGTCTTACCAATTCTTTAACTAAGATTTTTTTGCAAGATTTTTTCTGTTACAGATAAGAGTCATCTTAGGGTATCTATGAGAAATCTGTGGTGCATGGAAGAAATTGTGTTTGCACTTTTGTGCAACACAGAAAATTCAACTTACTCTAAATACCATTTTACACACAGTGTTTGTGCAACATGGGTAATTTATGAATTTTGCTACAGACTCTCACCAATATTGATACATAGCACACATGATTGTGAGTTTTAAAACTTTTGGTCTCTGTGATATATTCATATATAGTGCACATTGCTGTGAGTTATATTGCTGTGGATCTCTGTAACATACTTGAACACATTGCATACCGCTGTGCCAAAGGTGTAAAAGATGGTAGGTATCTAGCGCTTACAGTTAGATAGTGGAGGCAGCTCAGACAACCCAAATCGGAGTCTCTGGTCCATAAAACATATATGAGGTGGAGAGAGGGAGTAGTGCTTTAAGGGATTTTTTTTAAATGTGGAATATGTAAAAAAGGAGAAATACTAAATATAATGTAGTTTCTTAATAATTAATAAGGATAATAATGGTTCATAGGTAAAAGGAAATGCACTCACACTTTGTAGAGCTAGGAGTAGCTCTACTATATATGCCTGGGATGTACAATCCCCCAGCACTGCCCAGGCGTATATTGAAGAGCTACTTCTGGCTCTACAAAATGTAAGTGCATTTCCTTTTACCTCTGAGTCATTTGTATCCAAGATACCACACTATGATTTGTATTTCTACTTTTTTAAGTATTCCACATTTGAAAATCTCTTAAGGCGATACCTCTGTGATACACTCTTTCATAAACATCCATTAACACAAAAAATTAATAGCTTAAATGGTGCCCCCCCTGCAAGGAGCGAAACCATTTTTGAATGGTTTGACATCTTACCTGGGGTCTGCTGTGCACAGCTCCTAGCCTCCACTAGTAATGCCAGAGACCTGGAAGTCCCTAAAAAAGGGAAGTCAGGTAACTGTTTAGGAAGCATTTGTAGAGAAGGTGGGGAGCAGCAGTATGACTCCTTACATTGATTGGGGGAACCAGAGCACTCCTGGCACAATAATCACTACAATGTACTGTAGTTGTTATGGTTCTTGGAGTACTCCTTTAATGCCTTTGAAAAGTACAATTATAAGTGTTCTTAAGACTATTGTCTTTATTATACTCCTAAGAGTTCTGTTTATTGTGTTGCATTTTTATAGTGGTGCTTGATGCGCATTATCATAGTTATCATGTATCTTACTCCTACGTTAATCTAGAAATTAATATGGAAAACAGATATTAAAATGTCTGGGCACAGACGAAAACAAACAATAAGGACTGTGATTTTCTCAAGAACATTCAGATAATTGATACTACTTGGGAACGAAAAGCAAAATAAACGTTGAACAAGGTTCATTACCGTGGAAAATGAATGATTTGGCAGTAATAGGTTTAAACAAATGGCTGGTACAAACTAAGATACGAATGGAAAGATTTTCAATTTCTCAATTAAAGTAGCACAGCTGAGTCAAAATCTCTGGAGAAGAATTATTTAAGAATAACCAGTACTTATGAGTCTCCTGCCGGTAGTTTAATTTATTTTACCGCATTGGATCGAAATTTCTAATTGCAAACCCCACTTCAGTGGACTTTACGCATTTTATTTTTTTATATAAATTTTTTAGTTATGCAAGAAAAGTTCCCATACCAGCAAAATATAACAATACAATCCCAAACGTAATACAAAATAATGTTAGTTATACAATAAATCTGCATGGGAACATGGAGAAAATATATTTGGAAACATAGAAAATATTTTTTAAAGAGAAACATGAAATGATAGACAAAAATTAAAACTGGGGAATTAAAGGGAAATAAAAATGTCATTCTTGTATAAAGCGTACCAAACACTTCCAGAAATCTGTTAATATAGTTGGACATCAACCATGAGAGAGCAATGACAGTCAAAAAAGTGTTTTTTATTATGTTATATTATAGTTCTGTGAGTAAAAATAGTCACCGTTTAATTTTGTAATTTAAAAAAAATAAAATAAATTCATTTAAGAAAAAAATATAACTATAAAATACATAATATTTAATTTATTCCTAAATACTATCTTTGGTAGCTGCTTTAAAATCTTTAAAAACTCTTTCTATGGAGACTGTTGGACGTGAATGATGCTACAGAATGATGTGTGCACGTGACTTCATCCCATAAACGCTAGGTTCGTGGCGAGCGAATGACTGTATACGGTTGGTGGCACAGGTTGGGGATGGCTACAAAAAGACGACATAGTATAATTTATATGTCAAACTAACAAAAACATTCTATATGGATTTTATTACAATTAATTCATTTTTACAATAAACAAAATACATTTGATTGGAGTGAGCTTTTCTGTGTTTCTGAATTATTACTTAAACGATTCTTTGTGACACTGTTTAATAAGAAACGTCCATTTTTACCTTTGCTGAATGTACTGTATTATATAACAATAACAACACAGTCTATTATTACATATCATAGCAATAGCTTTATTATTAAATGTTCTGTTGGTTTATTTGAGGGGCAGGAGCCATTTGTTAGGATCTCTCCATTAGAATACATATATGTATGTGTCCGTGGTATCTACTAAAGTCATGAAACTTTTGATAATTAAATAATGCATAATTCGCAAACACCCCCAATGGTGGCATTGACCTTGGAGTCTGGTGTCCAGGAGGGAGGGGGGGGGGAGACAGGGGAACCTGACTTATCTGAACCTGTCCTCCATGCACGCCGCCATCTTCTGACGGTGCCCAATGCATGCAGACCATCTAGCAAAACAACTTTAACTCAGAAGTCAAGTACCACATCTTCACTGCATGTAACATAAAAAATGTATCTTAAAAGATGATCAAATGTTAATAGAATGTACATCTCTTTCTTTTTAGCTGTCTCTGTGATGAGGTACAGTGCGTCATCGTTTGGTTTTGCTGTAAGTATTTATGTAGCCCAACGTTACCCTGTTAGTTCCAATTAAAGGATCAGTAACAACAATAGAATTGAGGTAGACAACCAAAGAATAACTGAATATTAAAAATTGTGTTTTACAGGGGATCAAAGAATATGCAGCATGTGCATGGATTATAAAACATAAGATGACATTGCTGAGTTTAAAATATAGCTGAATTGAAGATTTTTTTTCAACTTCATTATGTCGACTTTCTGATTTTATCATTCACTTTTTAATTAATTACAATACACAGTTTGCCATATTAACTTAAGTGTGTATTTTATTCTAAGTCTTAGCAAGCGTGCAATAACGATACGTATAATAAATATTATTCTTAAAGAAGTATATAATGATAATAGTAAATTATATGCGTCAGCCATTTTGAACTCATAGGAATTTGTATCAAGTTGATTTATATTCAGTCCTTGCAATAATATAAACAAGATGTATACAGTTTATCTGACTACTTCAAAATGGATGACCTATGCAACGTAGCTGTTGTTGTGTCCTCTGCAAATTTTAACAAAATAGTTTTTTTCCCCTCCAAATGTACAATCACAATGCACTTGAAATGAATAGAAAAAAATACCTATTACTCCAAGTATTCTGAACTGAGTAACACCTGCTATTATTAGAACTGTGTTTGGGCCATAGATAAAGAAAATTGATACAGGCAGATAGTATTAAAGCAAAGAAGAATAACCATTTTAAGTTACGGGATACTGGAAAATAAATGGGTATCCTTAGAAAAAAAAATCCAAAATTAAATAGGCGAGTATAGTAAAGGGCAGATATTTATATTGAAAGAGCTCCTGGTTCCCCTACACCTCTTACATGATAAATTAATACAGAGTTGTGGTGGCACACTGGAACCGTGTAGGGCTGATATTGTGAGGGGCTTAGAAGTGTGACTGTCCTACACAGTAATTGTGTAGCTAAATATTCAGTTTTATAAACTATCTCATAACAAGAAAAGTCAGATGAGAAATTGGCCCCATATTTGCTCTTTAAAGAATTAACTCCACAGTTATTACGGAAGGTTTACTGTGTGCAGTACCTTTATTGGCCAGAGGGGCACTATTTATTTACAACTCCAAATCCCTTCTATGCCCAATCTGTGCTGGCTTCTTTTCCAATATGCATATCGGGCTGGTATCAGTAAAATGAAGGATTTTTGGAAACTAACTAAACATTGCACAAAATGTACAGTGCTCTGGGTTCCAACCAACATTCTCTGGTGCACAATATGATGCTTAGACTTATTCCACAAGAAGAATTGCATTGGGCAAATAAGTAACTATGCTTTTTTTTTTTAAACAATTGCAAATGAATTATTTATAACGATGGATTTGAATGCAGTTATTAAATAACTCCCTTGGGTAATTTAAAACATGGTTTGGCTGACAGCCAACTTTAATAGTCGCCACATTATGTCACAGATTGTGAGCCTGTATTTTTATAGCACAATAGGACGTTTTCAGAGAATTTCTTTGTTTCTCACAAACAAGTTAAATATTTTGAGATAGCTTATTGTCATCTCGTCAGATGAAAAATAATTTTTTATGCTTTTTTTTGTTCTTATTTTGTGAGACGTCAGCCTGTAAAAAACACATTTTTTAAATGTTGTTTCCTAAAAAATTCCAGGCTTTTTAACAGTCCCATCTAATGTCCATTTTTTCATCTATACTGTTTTATATTTAGTACAAACACTGGTCCAGATAATAGGGCCAGAGAGTAAGAATATGTAATTAAAGGGACACTATAGTCACCAGAACAACGACAGCTTATTGCATTTGTTTTGGTGTGTAGAATCATTCCCTTCAGGCATTTTTAATGTAAAAAACAAGAATAAGTGCTATCTATCTATAAATAAGCTGCAATTCACCAACAAGGTGTTCCCCTAACCTTGTAAAAAAACAAAACAGATATATACAATAAAGAGGTGAACAGCGCTGGCCTTATATAAAAAATATATACATTACATTCGTGGTAGATGATACTTGGCAATGGTATGGCTTAAACAAAGCAGAAAAATAATAATAGTGCAATATGTAATAACAGTGAAATAAAAGCAAAAGGAGTATATGATCCAAACTCACACTTTAAAGAGCTATATCAGCTCGGTTTAGAAGGACCTGGATGGAATAATCCCCGTCTGTGGATTTCTTAATGTGGGATCTACCAGGAAGATCCCACATTAAGAAATCCACAGACGGGGATTATTCCGTCCAGGTCCTTCTAAACCGAGCTGATATAGCTCTTTAAAGTGTGAGTTTGGATCATATACTCCTTTTGCCTTTATTTCACTGTTATTACATATTGCACTATTATTATTTTTCTGCTTTGTTTAAGCCTTCAGGCATTTTGCAGTAAACACTGTCTTTTCAGAGAAAATGCAGTGTTTACTTTACAACCTAGTGATAAGTCCACTGGCCACTCCTCAGATGGCTGCAAGAGGTGCTTCCTGGGACAATGCTGCCTAATGAGCAGCACTGCCATTCAGTGTTACCACCCTATGCATGCAGACACTGATCTTTCCTCATAGAGATTCATTGATTCAATTAATGAGGATATGCTGATTGGCCAGGACTGTGTTTGACTTGTGCTGGCTCTGCCCCTGATCTGCCTCCTTGACTGTTTCAGCGAATCCTATGGGGAAGCATTGTGACTGGCTCAGGCCACCACTTCTGATGATGTCAGCAGACAGCAGGCAGATCAGAGGCAGCAGCTGCAAACTTGAATACAAGCAAGATTTTACTATATTCAGGGAGGCAAGAAGGACATTGTGGGGGTGGAGTGAGAGGTAGATGGTGGTCTTAACACTATAGGGTCTCAGGAATACATGGTTGTGTTCCTCACCACAGAGTGTTCCTTTAAGTATAAGCTGGGTCGATTATAGTGAATATCTAATGTTTATTTGCAGATGCAATAAGCAGTAACAACTTTTCTAAAAGGAGGAAAACATATTTATTCAACAGAGCACAATTTCCAAATACATTATTCCAAAATAGTATTATTCATTAAGGTGTAAATCAGGGCTTGACAAATTTGCTTTCAATCTAGGAGCCAGCTAAAAAAGTTAGGAGTCAGTTTTTTCCACCAACAACACAAATACAATTCTTAAAGGACTATAGTCACCAGAACCACTACAGCTTAATGTCATGGCTCTGGTGTCTATAGCCTGTCCCTGCAGACTCTTCAATGTAGTTTTTACATTGCTGCCTATTAACACTCTAGTGCCTGGCTCTCTGGCATGGGGTCGGGAGGCGGGGAGCAGGGTCAGCTTTGTGGCATGGGGTCGGGAGGCGGGGAGCAGGGTCGGCTCTGTGGCATGGGGTCGGGAGGTGTGGAGCAGGGTCGGCTCTGTGGCATGGGGTCGGGAGGCGGGGAGCAGGGTCGGCTCTGTGGCATGGGGTCGGGAGGCGGGGAGCAGGGTCGGCTCTGTGGCATGGGGTCGGGAGGCGGGGAGCAGGGTCGGCTCTGTGGCATGGGGTCGGGAGGCGGGGAGCAGGGTCGGCTCTGTGGCATGGGGTCGGGAGGCGGGGAGCAGGGTCAGCTCTGTGGCATGGGGTCGGGAGGCGGGGAGCAGGGTCGGCTCTGTGGCATGGGGTCGGGAGGCAGGGAACAGGGTCGGCTCTGTGGCATGGGGTTGGAAGGCGGGGAGGGAGCAGAGTTGTCTTTACCTGGTGTCCTGCAAGGTTAGCTTGCCATTCTCCTGCGCAGCCTCTGCACCGGGAGGAATGAATTACAGTTCCCTTCACTTCCTCCCACCGCACAGAGAGCTGCACGGCGATTGACACAGGAGGAGGAGGGAACTGGCTGACCAATCCCAGGCGCCAGGACAAAATATTTAGTCGCCATGGCGACCTGGCTCCTGGGATTTGTCGAACCCTGGTGTAAATTGTCAGAAATTTAAAATGAATTCAAAGTGATTTTCTTATTTACGGCCAAAATAACTAAACTGGTTTATTAAGTCTCTCTTTCAACCTCTCGCAGTTCACACTTTTAGGGATTACTCTCTAATTTTTTTTAAATTAAATTTACATTTACTAATTTAAGAGAAGTACACATACATGGTTATTCTGTAAAGTGAGAACCACTATAGGAAGAGTCACTCTGACCAAAAACAGTGTTTTCTTAAAACACTGTTTTTTTTTGTCACGGTTTTACTTTAAATCCAAAACATCTAAACTGAACACGGAATTGACTACGTGAATGTTTCTAAATTGGCAATTAAATTTCAAGATTCACTTTGAATTCCTTCCAAGTCTCTCCTTACTGAATAACCTGGAAAAATAAAAAGACCTATTCGGGGAATAAGTTAGTTTAAGGATATATGTTATTTTATTCCCTGTATTGATGGTCTGTGCTTCACACTATAGGCTGCCTGAATCAGGTCACTATATCCTACTGAGCTACCTATTCAATTGAAGGCACCCAAACTAGGTACGCCATGTAGATTTCAGACAAAATTTAAAGGAACACTCTAACATTAATATACTTTATTGCAATTAAACTCTTTTTTTTTAAAAGCAATTAAACGTTCTTGTAAACCAGGGTCCGGATAGTCTGCTCTCTGTCAGTTGTGATAATCTCCATCTAATCCAATGCTTCTAATAGACACTGGTCGCCTGGTGTAGACACCTGGGGCACCGGTCACTTGTAATAGACATCGGTCACCTGGTGTAGACACCTGGGGCATCAGTCACTTCTAATAGACACTGGTCTAAAAGACATCGGTCACCTGGTGTAGACACCTGGGGCACCAGTCACTTCTAATAGACACCGGTCTAAAAGACATTGGTCACCTGGTGTAGATACCTGGGGCACCAGTCACTTCTAATAGACACCGGTCACCTGGTGTAGACACCTAGGTCACCAGTCACTTTTAATAGACACTGGTCTAATAGACATTGGTCACCTGGTGTAGACACTGGTGGCATGTGCAACAATTGCTGTGCTTAGTCAATCCCGTGCTTCTTCATGAAAGGCCATTTCCACCTTTGGTGTCATCATTTGTGAGTGGTTGTAAACCTTTGGTTTTCAAAAGTCTGGTGGCGAAAGAGCTTCTAATGGCTGTCAGTGTGGTCACCACAGAGCTAAGTTATCCACAGCTCTCGCAACCAATCAGTGCTGTCCTAACCTGGACAGAAAATGAGTGAAATCCTTCATTATCTCAGCAGAGGCAGAGGAAGCCTGTTTTTGCCAAGTTGCTAAATAATTGTTTGCCTTTCAGATTCTAAATAAAATGTAACGGTTTACTTTAGCAGAACATTATTCAAATAGTTGTCCTTCAAACTGGCACAATGTGTTAAAAATCCCAAACCTTTCTTGCTTTGTCTCTTTTGTAGTTTGACGCTGTCCTCGACGTTCTCTCATCAGCAATTGTATTGTGGCGTTACAGCAATGCTGCTGCCGTACATTCTGCACATAAAGAGTATATGTAAGTAGAAAATACAGACATTGTGAAAATCTGTGAATTCAACGCAAACATGATGTAGAATTATCATGTTATATTGTGGGCATATTGTAGCCATATTGTGATTGCAGTATATAGGGAAATCACTTGTGCAAACAACATGGAAACTAAAGATACTTTAATTATACAGTTAGTAATGCAAAACAGATGGAACTTACGGGAAGTTAGTGATTTATCACATTATAAAACTGTAACTTAAAGAAACATTAAGTCTGGAGGTTGGCAAATTTGCCAGGTTTACTTGAAACGCTAGCATCACCTTAAAGGGACACGCCACTGCCCAAATAAAAAATACAAAAACACTGTTTATTATATTTACCGAAATGAAAACATGCATGCATTTAATTATGCATCTAAAATAGCTGACAAAAGCTGCAGTTTTCTTGTTTATTGCCTTCACAAGCCCTCCCCTTCTAACCCCGCCCAGTCTTTCTGTGGCTGTCCAATCACAGGTTTCCCAAGGCAGCCCACTGAGAAGTCTTTGCAAGGCAGGTGCTCTGAGCAATTGCTGCCTCTTGAGTTTAGTTCCACTGAGCTAATCAAAACAGTAACAAGGTTAATTTATAAAAGCATCAATTACTTTTGAAATCTATACTATTTGTGAACAAAAGAGGACATTGAAATGAGCAAGCAAGGTTTCTTTATTACTCAGGAACATTAAAAATGACAATACTTTCCTTATGTTTGTGTTAATTTGCATATTCCGCACAGCGTTCTGGGAAGGTTTTTTTAAGAGGAACTATTGCTGCTTCCTGGGGTGAGGGGGGCGGTTAGGGGTGTACTCTATTACTTAGATAATATATTGTAAAACTTTTCAAGAAAGCAGAGTACAACGTTAAACAGAGTATTTTAGAACAGTTTGTTGTTGTAATATGAAATTTGATGTTTAGGCATTTGAGGATTTGCAATTATCCCAATAAATCTTAGTTCTAGATAGAACCACCCAGAACTCCACTTACAATCCATTATGACCATTGCCCAAACATTTCCTTTGGTAATTATGTTATTAGCAAAGAAAATATATATATCTGGCAGCTAGCCTGGTTACCATCTGCGAAAAAGAATAAAGACATTTTCATAAATGAATTTGCATTCATTATTTTTAAATAATTTTGGGCTCTGGATAATGATGCAGCTTCTCAATTACTGCAACGGAATAATAAAAAGCTTTGGGTTGCGAAGGAAAGTAGTTTTCTGCTAATGAGACTGAACTGTCTATAGTCAGGTCATCCTGGAACTAGCTATCATTTTATGAAAAAAAACAAATGCTCTTTATTTAACAATGATTAGTTGTGGAACGCTCACAAAGCTCTGTTCAATGAGGCCATTAAAAACCACGTTGATTTTATGGTTTTATATAATTCAGATTTCCAGAGGCAATGCTATTGTGTTTCAATTTCTTAAACTAAAGTATAAATAACATTTTATTTGGCACAAAAGCAGTTAGGTAAGTTGTCCTAGAATTAGAAATATTAAGGATAATCATAGCCTCGAAACCGTACCTCTCCCATACATATTAAACAGTACTGGGTTATATTCATGTAATAAATTCTTTGTAGTATTTGAAAGATATGAGTGCGTTTCACTGGCTATTGGAAGCGTCCTTCCCTGGATATAGAGCAAGATATTTGAAAATCAGTTACAAATAAGCAACTGAAGCACAGAGCTTGGAATAATATCAAATAAATCGATGTTTATTCACCCGGGAAGGCTTTAGGAGCTATAACATAAAAAATGGCACCTCTTGCAGAAAATCCCACCAACAAGCCAGGTAGACCTGTAGTTACATGACAGGTGCATAATCGCCATATGGGTAGGGGAGGGATATGAACCTGACCCAAACCCACCCAATAAGACACCGACACTCTTATGTATGGGTGAAAAAACGCCCACAGCTTTATTAATAATAAAGAGTATAAATTATCATGTACAAAGATATAAAGGTCATTACCCGCCACCCCCCCAATATTATACCATCTCCCCCATGCTAAAATTAAAGGCAATGACCTACAACATATCATAACTTACCAATATATAACAACCAAATAAATATTAACATGTAAAGTGCCAACATTTCTTTAGATTACTCCTGGTAGGGGTATACCCAGATACACATACACCCCCGAGGTTCTGAGCCACCGTGGGGCTCGAAACCTACCAAAACTTGTACAAACAGTGTTCCATTTTAACCAACCAACTAACTGCCCTTATTCCAATATTAATTAAGAAGGCCGTTTTTTTCGTTAATCTTCCTTACCCCACCCTGCTTCTGTGACCAAACAGGGAAAAACCTAGCAAATAGGAGGGGGGAGGGGGGGAGGAGCGACCAACTCATCAAGGTAAGGGATTAGAACGAGGGATCCAAAAATTCCCGAACTTTTATATCGGCCAGCCCCCAAACACTAGCCCACCAATCCCAAGCTGCTCCCAGCCCTAGCCCGCCTCCTAGCCCCATCAGGGCCCTATTTCCTAAGCTGCACTTTCTCCATGGGCTTTAAAAAAGTTGTCCTAACATGTAGCATTAAGTCAGAATCAACACGCACTTTAAAGGATCTTCGGAGGCAGTGCTTGATTACCATGCTTCCCGTTTAATACTACCATTAACTGTTTGCTCATAATGGGCTTGTTTTCATGCTTGTAGGTAAAAATTAGCTATTATACATTGATAACACAAATACCTAGTAGATGTTTGTGGCTAAAAAAATTTACTAACCAGATTTCTTCGGCAACCGCTTCATTTAATACCATAGCTAGTGCTTACTAGTTTGCAATTTGGATGCACGTTAAGAAAAAGGTGCATTTTCTAATTAATTGCAATAGCACCTCCGCCAGGACACTATAAAACATGCCTCCAATGCATGGGCTTTTTATTAATCTTTACGATCATTTAAACAGGTTGCCCTTTGTGTTTCTCATACACCAAGCTCACTACATTTCCAAAGTCTTCTTTGAAAACTATTTATCACATGCTTATAGACAGCGTTTAGTGCCTAAATGTACTTAAATATAGAATCAATGTTTTATTTTAGAACTTGATATACTGAGGTGCCTTTTTAACTTTACACCTAGATGCGGCTTACGATATTTTTAGTATGATATCGTCAGGTGTGAGTTTTACTGTCTAATATGGAAACCAGATGTTACTTAGCATCTCCTACTAATCTCTAAGGAAAACATCATCACTTGCGGCAGCTGCTAGTTACAATTTGTTAGTTGTTAACGTTTTGTAACGTGAAAATTGACGGTTAACAGCAACAATAGCAACTAGCATTTTAGCGATTACTAACTTTTTGCTAAATTGTTGCAAGAAGCACGGAAATGAACTGAGGACATGCATTAATAAATCACCAACTCTCAGTTGAGGCAACATTCAATATTTCGATGTATGCAACCCCCCGTAGTAGGCACGGTTAGTATTTTGCTCATACACCTGACAAGCGAGCAGTTAAAATACATCCCCACTGTCTATAGAAGCAGATATTACTACTTCTTGCACATCAACGTTTCCGCTGCGGGATCAGATTTTAATACACCGCTTTTTTAATTTCAAATAAGATGTGATTAATCAGCAGTACTGTCACTGAATATTAGTAAACGCAAAGAAACGTGTAAAAAAGCCATTAAACGAAATGAAAACTGAAGGCGAAATGAAAAATATATTTACATTTTAATTTTGGAACGTTTTAATTTCAAGCAGTTGACTGATCACCACAAATCAGACAGACAGAATCTTTTCAAGGTTTGGCGTATATTCACCTCTGAGGGAGAGGCTGTCTTCTAAACACAATCTGTTACACAATCTGTCTGTTTCTATGCTTTGTGTTTACAAAACTGCATGTGCGAATAGGAACAAATGATTTTCTTTACTATGTTAAATGGAAGATTAGTTACAAACAATAGATAATCAAATTAAGTTTTTTCTTTCGGACAGTTTATAATCTGACAAATGATTCTGAATATACAATGAACAGTGACCCATATGGACTTATTAAAAATAATGTTAAACTGTGTATAACGTGTAACCTTTATAATAATGTAGATTGTGGTATTGTGAACTCACAGCTTTCCCCTTTAATAGCGATGGTAAAAGAAAGTGTTTAATATCTGTGTTAAAATTGTGTCGCTCTGACAAATAGATTATGTTTACAGACATGTGCATCACGTTTTACATGTTTAGATTGCCACGGGAAACATGAGATTGTTGACAATGAGCAACACACAGGATTATTTAGAAGTATTTGAAACAGCAAATTTTCCAAATATAATTTAGGTCAATTTGGGGCCATTAAAAGGCTCCATTATTATTGACATGTGGGTAATTTATCAACTTCCAAAACAAGGAAATCAGACTCAAATTGAAGCCTAAAGAGATCTGAAATGACTTTTTTTGATCCAAATACATTTCTTTTTAGAATGGAATACCTTAGAAATTGCCTGTTAATTAATTTCCTAAACATTTCTGAATTATCTCCTAAAATTAATGAATAACCTCTTGTTACTTATGCAGTCAAAATATTCAAAGTTTAAATAAATAAATAAATAAATATTTAATGATAAAGCCATAACATGAATACCCATACCACCATATTAAATGAATTAATCCCATTCCTTAACACCATGGGCAATTTGAGGGAATTAGATAAATGTATTTGCTGGTTATTCTGACAAGCAGGTTTAGTGTTAATCTGAGTCCCCATCAGCGTGTCTGTTAAAAACAGAGCGTCGGTAACCCATAAAGGCATGCAGAGAATTGCAGGTAAACTGTGCATTTTGTTCAACTATATACCTTTGTAACAGTGCCACCTACTGTTGGAGTCTGTCAAACACATTTATAATACATGACATAAGGACTAGCTATTTCAAGAGATAAGGTGTTAGGATAGCAGGGCATGAAATACTATAAGATAAGGTGCACTATATAATTTGAATACTTTTAAATCAGTTCCCACAGCGGAATCACTTTTATTGGCTTATTATTGGCCACTAGTGTCATATTTACCCTGCAATGTAAGCATTGATGTTTCTACTAATTGTTGAACATTGCAGGGTTAAAACTAAGGCACCACTGTATTCAGACCCCTTCATTAAGATGAAATGGTCTCTGTGCCTCTAGTGGTCCTTTAACTGTGATGCCAAAACGCAACATCCCTGCAGTAAAACATTTAATTAATGAATTAATTTATACAGCAGATCTGAGAATGCTATTTAAAAAGTATTTACGTAAATTGGAAGATTTTTCACCTACAGATGAATCCCAATTATTATCCTTTAATTCATATATACAGATTATAGTTTCTTATTCTAAATTAGGGCACAGTTTGAATTTTGAATAAATAGAAGTGTGTATTAAAGACACCTAATTTGCATTTTTCGTGTAATTAGGTTTATAACACATCACGACAGGACACAAGTAATGTGTTTAATTCCAGCGCCGGCAATGTTTTATTGGATACATTATTTTATTGCAGTCTCTTGTTTTGACATTACAGTAATCAGGCACTGGGAGCAATTCAGTCTGTGCCACCTAGCTGCAATAATTATACGGCAAAAAAATATTATAATTGTGGCTTGTATGCCAGTTGAGACACTGGTAAAGATGTAACATATGCTGTCTTGCACGGAATTCTCGTGTTATTAATATATATTGTATATAGCCTCCTTGATGTCAGTGACAGAGAGGAGTCATCCCTTGATGTTTGTGGGTAGATGGGCTAAAGCAGAATTTGACATTGATCTATCTTAAGCTAGATAAGCAATATGGGACGTGTAGTTAAAAAACAACAGAGAACAAAGCTGATGTGAGTTAGAACTTTTTCGTTCTTCCAGTCTTATGGTATAAGCCAAAGTATGACACATATCTGTATGGAAAATAAGAATCGTCGTGCATGTGCCCTGAAGAGATAGGCAAACCATATGTGTTCGAACAGGCGTCTTATTGAGCACATGCGCACGCCTCGGAACTTAAGCTAGCAGTGTATGAGTCAGGGTCAGCCAAGGATCTTCAAATCTTTATAGAGCTACTGGATAATGCTAACTTGGGGCATTCTGTGTTTTTCTGATCATTTGTGTCGTTACGAAAGGGAAATAAAATGCATGTAACACATTAAACATAGTCCAAATCTGAAAATCTAGGCAAATGTCCTCTGCAAGACAAAAACAAGAACACTTCTAGCAGGGTCAGTCCTGTAGGAATATATAGGACAGATTTATGTAAACTGCAACAACACCCAATTAGCTATGAACATACTGTACATGCTGATAAATTACATGTTTCAATGCTTTTTGATTTTTTGATTAATCAACCATTTACCTCTCCAGTAGTGCTGTTTCCACCATGCTGGGCCCATGGGTTCTAGGCTAGTATAGTAGCCATGCCGCATTCCTGCTTACAACCCACCGACCCCGTATGTGATTGTCCTATTACTCCATGAGTCGGACACATTGGCGTCATTGTCAGTGCATCAGCATCAAAACAGAATGATGAAACACTCACTGGAGGAATCACCACAGCAACTACCAAGCATGCATTGTAGTTGCTGTGACCGACATTTAGTCCATGAAAATTCAAAATCCTATGCCCTGTATACACAGATTTCTTGTGAAGATTTATATTTTTATAGGGTGGAGGTTTCTGTGACTTTACATCGATTTCCTAGAACCATCTCAGAAAATTGGCCTTTCTTGTAAATTCATATTTAGCATACATCGATTTTGCTTTGCAGACGGAGGCAATACCCATTTTATAAGGTCATTGACTTTGTAATTGCAGGTTCTGTGGCTCTACCAAAAGTTAGTATATCTGCAGGAGAAAAACAATCTATACAAGTCATGAATTATTAATTGTAGATATCAATTCCAGGAGATCTTAAGGTTGACCAATTAACCATGTCGATGGACACATATGCTCCACTATTTTCCTATATTTCCTTTTAGAAAATATATTCTATTTTCTTATCAAAGTATTTTTTAATTATCTTTTTGCATCAAAGACAAGCAGCTTTAGTTGTTGCCAGTCAACAGATACCAGAAATCCTTTTAGACCTTAGAGGAGCACTTTTAACCTCTTAACCTCAGAACATTTTGAGATCACAACATACTACAAAAGGCAATTTGTGTAGACTAACTCATTACATTTAGCCTCTGGGCTTTTCTCCTACAGCCAATCACATCAGACCCTAGGTTTCTCTCGACACTTCACTGTAGTCTTACCCTCAGAAATATCTTGATTTCCCTTTTATCCTCACCCCTTTGCTCTCCCACTGTTGGCATATCAGTGTGTGTGTCTGTCATGAATGTTTATGTGTCTGTCAGTCAATGTGTGTCTATCAGTGTGTGTGTCTGTTTGTGTGTGTTAGTGTGTATATGTCTGTAATTGTGCATCTGTAAGTGAGTGTATCTGTCAGTTTGTCTGTGTCTGTCACTGAATGTGTGTGTTTGTCATTGAATGTGTGTGTGATGATCACTGTGTTTCTGTCAATGAATGTGTGTATATTGTGGGTGTGTCTGTCAGTGTTTGTGTGTCTATGAGTGTGTGTCAGAGAGTGTGTATGTGTCTGTCAGTGAATCAGTGTTTGTGTGTGTCTGTGAGTCTGTGAATGTATGTCAATGTGTGTCTGTCAGTGAATGTGTGTGTGTTTGTATGTAAGTGCCTGTCAATGTGTGTCAAATCAGTAAGAGTGGGTGTGTCTGTCATTGTATGGCTATCAGCGAATGTGTGTGTCTGTCAATGAGTGTGTGTGCCTGTCAGTGAGTGTGTCAGTGAATGTGTTTGTGTCTGTCAGAGTCTGTCAAATCAATGAGGATGTGTGTCTGTTACTGAGTGTGTATGTGAATGTTAGTGAGTGTATGTATGCCAGTAAGTCTATGGGTATCTTAGAGTGTGTTTCTGTCAGTGGGTGAGTCGGTGTGCCAATGTGTGTCAGTGAAAGTGTGTATTGGTTAAATAGTGTGTGAGTCAATGACTGTGTGTCAGTGAGTGTATGCCAGTGTATGTATATCTGGAAGGGCGTATGTCTGTCAGTGAAAGTGTGTGTTTGTTAAACAGTGTGTGTGCCAATGAATGTGTGTACAAGTCGATGAGAATGTGTGCTTGAAAGGATGAGGTAGGAAGAGGTGGAGCTCTAACAGGTAATTGTGGAGCCTAAATAGAAAGGGGTGGAGGAGATGCTGTACTTTTTACTGTTCTTGAAATGTGTTATTGCTCTGAACTCTGAACTGAACTTCTTCTTCACATGTTCCTCTAAGTTACACATAGTAACCCATATAGTACCCCCCATTTTACATAGGATTCGCTGTCCCATAACTAGTGGCAATAACTAGGACTGCAGTAACGGCCATTTTACATCCAGAACCGCAACTCTCACAATGCATGCCCGTGCCAAGTTAGGCCTTTGTGATTAAATCTAATTGTCTTGTTATAATAATTTTTCCTGTTTTGATGAAATATGTGCAATGCATAATGGAAGATTTTGGGGGTAATTAAATAAATAAATCATAGAGCGTGACTTATCTCTCTGTTTTAGGCTTCTGCCCTCACTGGGGAACAGACTTCATAAAACATGATAAACAAATCACAGTCTTTAAATTACAGCCCAAATAATGTATCCGATGTATAATCGCCCCTTTGGTCCAAAAATGATCAGAACTAAAACATTTAACTCGTTATGCAGAGGGATTAATTTAAAATATCGGAAATCGTTCCACATCAGTCATAATCAATAAATTACTGAACGTGTACATTATTTCTCTGATTGAAGCTGTTATTGTATCATAAACAGTGGCAGCAAACATTCCTTTTTAAATACATACCTGCAATGCAGTTTTATTGGGATAGCCTGAATGACGCACATTCTCTTCTCCCTTGGGGATGGCCCAGCTCCCGGGTGTCTTAGTTCTCAAAGTAAAATCCATATTAGTGCGCTTGGATTGTGGCGAACGGCCATCGAGTAACAAAAGGAAACATTTTATTGCAGCTTTCAAAGCGACACTTAGGGTACTCTACAGCTGCTGGACCACAGGCCTTGCTGATGCGAGCACTTCTTTTCAGAGAGTTATATGCTGCTGTGCTGCTGCAGAAATCTAATATTGTAGAGCACATCAGCTGCCAATATTTGCAGGCTGCCAATGGCGACTCTCTGCAGCCCTCATGGCTGTCTTACATTATATGCAATCTGTGTTATATTTAATTTCCTAAACACGTCCTTCTGAGGATTAAAACATTCTGTAGGCAATACGAGAAGCCCTTTGCTTATGTGTTTTGCTTTGACTGTTTTATATTGAATTTTTTTAAAGGTGCTATCCCATCAACTCTGCAGGATGAGGAATGCTTATAACTCAATAGAACAAAAGAAAAATAAGGCAGCTTGCTCAGATGATCATCTTTTTTTCTTTTAATAAAATTTTTATTGGTCACTGTGCATATAGTGAACACAATTGCGGGATATACAAGCATAAACAGTGAAGCCATTTTTCATAAATTACTTTTGAGATCAGACAGCCACGCAGGGCTGAGGAAGCATATGACGTGAAGGTTAACAAGGATGCCAAGGTCAGCAAAAAAATTGCATAGCAAATTGTACAAATTAAGCGCTCCTATATAACCTAAAATGGTGCCATGTTCCAGTAAACCATTCCCTTAAGGGTGTAGCAAGGTACACTTATCGAAATCTCTGTCTGATTAAGCCCCTACCCATTGGGTTGAACCATAATAGGGGTGTGCTCAGCTGCTCCCATAGCCGTCTCACAGGCAAAGTAAAAACTGGAATGTTTCCAGAAGGGAAATATACACAACCGGTGCCTCGAGACCTCTTAACCCATGGGGCCGCCATTCCTGTATGTCAGAAGAGCCTGAAAGTCTGCATGAGATTGGGTGTGTCCCTGGGCCATAAATGTCAGTTCTTCCATTTTGTCAAACCACATTTTGGAGGGTGGAGGGGGTGTCCCCTTTTTTCCAATAGAGGGGGACTACTTGTTTAGCTGTGTTTAAGATTCAAATTGACATGGATTTCAAATTGACATCTAGTTGTCGAGGTGGTGGTGTGCTGTAGGAGAAAAAGGATGGAGGGTTGTCTGAGAATTTCTGTAGGATGGCATTAAATGCCAACCAGTAGGGCCTAATTTTGGGGGAGGCCCACCAGACATGCATGAAAGTATCTAATGCGGTTTGGCATCACCAACAGTCCCCTTCCAAAGCAGGGTTCATGCTCTGAAAGAGGTGTGGCGTTCTGTTCCATAGTGTTAGGACCTTATAAGCTGTCTCCTCTGTTTTGCTAGCTAACACACAGTGATGTACCAAATCGTACATTTTTCCCCATTGGTTATCGGTAAAGGTTTCCCCCAGAGCTACCTCCCACTTCCCTTCATGTAACCAGGAGCTGGGAGGTTCAATTGTGTTTGCAGTATGGAATACAAAAAGGACACAGCAGGTGGCTGTGTGTCAGGGTCGACACAATATCGTTCAAAAGTCAGGCTGTTGAGGATGATCATGTTTGTTGTTACTGAATTTCTCAGTATCTTTAAACCTAAAGTTATGTTTTCCAAATCAGAAATGCTCAGATTTCTTTATTCCCATTTCATTATTGTTCTATTACTATAAATTACGTGATACCCAGAATGTAATCTAAATATAATGTAATGGAGGAGAGTGACGCTTGTTTGAAAGATTACCTTGTGACAAGACATGTTTACATTCTCCAGTATTACATTCACCTACATTCTTTATTTCTATCTTGAAATTTGTTTATACATACATTTCACATCACAAGAAACACATTTTTAGCTATGATATATGTACCTGACCCGCAGATTTGGGATTTCCCGTACGTGAAGAGATGCTGTTGGGATGCTCACCTTGAATGCCTGGTGGAGAAGGCAGGATAGAGATGCCGAATAGATTAAACTACCCAGTACCAAATTAGAATCTTTACTTGATGATGACTTTCTAATGTTTTACAGGAAACTGTTTTATAAATTGTTTATTGTTATATTTGACTTTTAAGCATTAATAACAATATACATAATTTAACAACTTTTACCCACACATCTGTCTGTCTGCAAATATATATTTCTTCTTTTTTATAAAGCTTGTTGTACCAAGGATGCACAGGCTACAATATACATATTTTTCCTTAAATCTGCTTTATGTTTTTTTTTTTTAAATAATTTTTTGATACCAGCAATAGCACGGGCTGGTTGTCTGCATGTCTGTCTGCCCATCCACCCATCTATCTACCTGCTTATCTATCTATCATCTATTATTATTATTGCATTATATATATATATATAGCGCCAACAGATTCCGTAGCGCTTTACAATATTATTAGAGAGGTATCTATCAAGCTATCATCTATTATTATTATTGCCATATATATAGCGCCAACAGATTCCGTAGCGCTTTACAATATTATAAGAGGGGTATCTATCTATCTATCTATCTCTTTCAGTCCTGCTGTCACACAATTGTATCTAACAGGCCCCAGACATCTTCTGCAGGTTGCTGTCGATCCAGGAATGTATATCATTAGTGTAATTATTTGTATGTACAATGCAGCCTCGAGTTTCATAGTCTCTATTACTGCACTATTGAACGATATGTATCAAGGTGAAATCTGCTCTATTCGTTCATGAAGTGTAACGCTCTGTTTTTATCCAAGCGTATTCCGCAAATCTAGAAATGATTGAACTCGATGATGACTTGAAATTAAATATTAATATTAAACGAGATTGAGTTTCTACTAGAACCAGTCATTACGCGAGGAAAGAAGACTAAATGACTTCAGTTTAAATAGTGTATGCAGGATAGATGCCATAGGCTGGGAGTGCGATGTTGTTATCCAAATTTGGATGAAGAAGAACACTGGGTTAATATTTCCAAATTTACCAGTTAATCAGTTATCATGGTCTTGGTCGAGAGTTGCTTAAGCTACACTACCACATTGTTTCATTTAAAATATACCATTTATTTTCCTCTTCATCTCAATTGAAAGACACATGATCTGCATCAGGTTTCAGCAAACTTTGAAGTGTGACATAGTGGCACTGGGCAACCCTTTCATATTATGAAGAATCTGATAAAAGTATTTTGGTGAAAATGATTTGTTTTGTTTTTTAATGATGTCATTCAAGAAAGGTTTGCAGAGGTAATTGTACAAATGAAGAACAGTTTGGTAGGCTAATGATAAGTGTATAATTTGGAGCCATGTTGATAAACTTCAAGAATCACTGTTCTTTTGCAGAGCAGTGACAGGCTCAGCTAACCTTTGGCTGGCTGAGCATTATGGAGTTAGGGACACCTATTTACTAATATGGGATTTACTTAACACCACACACTAACTTCAGACACTAAAACAACAAGCAGAGAAAGCTGCCTCAATGGAGAGAAAATCCCCACCTACATACACCAGACAACAACTCCTTTGACCCTCAGCCATCCTCTGGATAAAGGAATATTTGTGAGTTAAAGTGCCACACCGACATAGTATACATGCACAGATAGCAATGATGAAGACACCTGCATTTATTAGTATTTATCCAGTGATATTGATACATTATTTCAGAGAAGCCCATCACTATTATTCTTCATGTTAATCCATTTTCGATGGCTGGTCTGTTTGCTGTGACTTGTAAGTCTGTTACTATTTAATTTATTTGGCTGTCAGTCACCTGTCTTCCCTCACAGTGGGGGGTGATACTCAAACTGGTGCACAGACTGCTTTATCAGGTATGTCTCCACAGAATTACGGGATGCCTGCAAACCTAACAGCTACACACACATGTCAGCGCATGTCATCTCCATGGAAACCATCACACATGTAAAATAATATATATAAATAAAAAAATGAATAGAAAAGTAAAATGACAGGGAAAAGATATAGCACTCAACGGGCCCGAGCACTGTGATCAGTGAGACTGGCAGGTATTAGAAGAATATATATAATTAAATAAGATGTGGAATAAAAGATGAGAGGCGTGGAGGGTGGGGGAGTCGGGAGACACAGGGAGAGAAAGAGACGAGAAAGAAAAAAGAGAAGAAAGTGACAAATTTAAAGATGTGCTCATTGCTGTTTAAATCACCATTCATTGCCTTTATTAATGTCTAAATATCTGAAGTGTGATGACACAGATATTCAAATTAAGTAAACGTGGATTTAAGTTAAGTAAACGTATCATTTTACTGAGCCTATACTCCAAAGGATCCAGAACAGGTGACGTGTCCATTTGAGCAGTGGCAACATTTTTTTTAATTTTAGCTCTCTTCCATTTGTGTGGGAACTTCAAAAAATCTGAGGTTGGGGAGGGGCAGAATTTGACTAACCCGAGCACACCCTACAAGGACAGGGAACCTTCGGCACTCCAGATGTTGTGGACTGCATCTCCCAGAATGCTGTTACTGCCATAATGCTGGCAAAGCATCATGGGAGGTGTAGTCCAAAACATATGGGATGCCGAAGGATGCCATTACTTTATACAACCAAACATTGTAGATTATCAGCGAGGAGACTGTACGTAGCATTAGGTCTGTGATATTTTTTGTATTTCTGTGTGCCAGGTATATTGAGGAATTTGGATGTTTACAGTGTTATTAGAATTTTTTGGGGAAAAAAAGAGTGGATTCTATATTTCTTTTTTGCCATTTTAAGCAGCCTGACCTCATCCTTTGTACGTACATAAATATGCAATTTCTCACATAAAACACATCACAGCAGTAACAGATATTTTCATCCAAAAAAAGGTACAGTAATTATTAGCAAAAGGTTTTTCACACTGAATTTACTTTGCATCTCCTTGTTAAAATGTAAGTGGTTTTTAAAAGCTATTAAAAGCTGAGTGAAATAAAAATGCGTGGTATTGTCTCTGAGCGCAAATAGGATTAATTGTATAAGAGCAGGTCTTGACTCTGGGAGGGCAGAGGTACAAGAAGATCTTAGAAGCCAGACGAAGCTGGTTGAGAATTGCAAAGGTGACTTCTTGATCTACGTTCAATAAATCTTCATGAAATTCGGAGGGGTATAATGTACAAAACAATTTTTTATTTTTTCAAAAGTGTTACATTATTGTGAATTTAATTTAAAAGTCATGTGATTTTAGTTGCCAGTGTTTACGGCACTACATAAAAAAGTATGAAGTGATTAAATTGGGTATCAATAGATGGTAGATTGTACTGAATTAAAAACTGTATTGCAAAGTATAAACCAAAATAACGTATCCAGCTTAACTAAAGTTACAGCTTCTGTAATAAAGGATATTTCATCCTTAAATTGCAATTTATTTTTCATTTCACTATAATTTGGTCAGAAAAAAATAAATAAAAATAGGGTTTCTGGTATTGAAACTTTTTAATGCGGACATCACTGTGGTCCATTTATAGAACAGTGATTTCAATCAGTTTTCAATTCACTACATAACACTGTTTAGTGAATAGGCACCTTTGCATTTGATCCAACGAGCCACTAGGAGACTAGTACAGCCATCCAGAGGTTGCGGATTGATACTCTATTAATATATTTTTATTCGTGATATATAAAGTGATACATAAGATTCTCACGTTTTGATTTCTGATTTCTTCCTTAGAGCCTGTGTTATCCTGGGGGTGATCTTCATCTTTTCAGCCCTCTGCATTGTGGTGAAAGCTATTCACGATCTCGCTATTCGAGTGCTCCCAGAAGTGGTAAGTTGCTGGGCATTGCTAGAGATTAATGACACTAACATTGGTTTTTACTTACATACATGCATAAGGGGCTCTGCTCATTGGGTCTATTGCTGATCCCCAATGCTGTCAATATAGTACGTGTCTGTGGCGGAACAGACCTCTCCACGTGTTCTTGGAGGGGGCTGCTTGCCCGCCTCCTACCTTCTGACTATGGCCCTGGGATATATGGCATTTGAAAACACTACTTGTGCCCTGTGACAAAACTGGAGATTGTGCACAAATATGACTATTGTCCATATTTTTTATGATTCCCTTTGTTTGTTGCACTGTTCCCCATGTGTTTCATCTGTTGGTTCGGCTGGATAGACTACCAGACAAACTGTGGAGTTACTGGGTGGCCACCATTTCATGTATCAGAGGCACATGGTGAGAACAATGGATGAAGCACATGGTCAGAACAATGGATGGTGGCCATTTTAACTCACAGACACTGTTTTGACTTTTCTACACGGTGCCATCTCACCGGTATTTGGTGCATCGTTCAATAGTTTTAAACTACAGAACAGGGCACACATTTAACAGTAATTATTTTTCATATAGCCTGTATATGTTCTGCGGAATCTGCATTAAACCGTACTACTACTTCCAAACTACTGAACGGATCTGTGTGAATTTTGGATATGTGGTTCACCCAGATCTCCCGGTCCCGGTTTTATGGGGTTATTGCATGTTTTGGGGTCCCTGTGATAGGTTTTATAATACTGTATTTTCCTGCCTGTGATAATTAAGTTAGTCTATTGTGTTGAGATAATTGTATCACAGGCAGAGGGGAGTATTTCTGATGTAATGAATGGGAGTGTTAGCTGTGTTGTAATGTGTTGATTGGTTGTTCTTCAAAACCCTGTGGCAGTACTATGTTTGTAGAATGTGAATAAAAGAGGCTGCAAGGTGCCAGTACAGTCAGTTCTACTTCACCCTCAATTTGGAGTGCCGTCTCTTATTGGGAGAATCTGCTACAAGGGATTGCTATGCTCTGCATACTCTCTATGTATTCACTGCTAGCTCTTATAAGAGCTTGTTCCTGCCTTGCTCTTTGGAGGAGTCTACGGGGGTTATCGTCTCTGCTGCAGTGCTTGGAGTCCTCATGAAGCGCTAGGAGCATCCTTCAAAGGAGGTACCCAGTCAGGATGCCCGTCGATCCGTTACAGTTTCCTCATTGAATGTGTGTACGCTCACCAAGTCACTATGCCAACTTTTACCTACCAAATAAAAATAACCCTTCGACACTAAAGGATTCCACCAAAAAACACCAAAGAAATTGGACTGTGAATCAAATCATAGTCTGCTTCACTGAACCCCTTCAATACTAAAATTATAAACATTTTTGTTTTAATGTTTTTTGCAGTAAAAAATGTAGACCATAAAACCTCCCTCGCCTTCATTTGTAATCTAATTAATATTACCAGCCTGTAGAGGAATACATTTCACTAGTCACTGACATAATGCCTGTAAAGTTGTGTAAAGCATGTAAACTCACCCTCTGCTTTCAAACAGTACAGGAGGTTTCAATGGATCACATTATTCCTACCGTCAGGGATGGGAAGGAGTGAATGGACACTACCATTTCACTTTTTGCATTACATTAACAGTCCAGAGATTGATAAAGATTGCTATAGCAGTCTTAAATACATTTATTATACAAATATATGATTTAACTGTGTTTACTGTATGTGGGCGTTATACTCAATGCAGACATTCTTTTCACATTCTGTTGCATTTTCAGTCAGCTGCCCTGCATGTAACGCCTTCAGGTCCATACAAATATCTATAAGCAAGGTATTTAACCATCTTAATATAACAACTTTTGTCATATCTGCAGTATTTTTGCTTTTATACTAACATTTCAAACCCTGTGTGAAATATTGCAAGATAAAAGACTTTCTATACTGTCTAAAGCGTTTCATTAGCCGGGTGTTTTTTTGAAGGTGGAACGAATAAGTGAAAAATACAAATTGTGTAAATTTACCTAATTAAAAATTTTAAGTTTGTCTTTAAAGCAATCAATACACAAATCACTGTGTTATGATATGTTTAAATGCTGGCTGTGCATCCCTTGCTTCAAATAAATGTGATGCTAATATTTTTACAATCAAAAAGTGTTTGGTAGTGAAGAGGTTGATCACCAAAATATGATTATTAAAATGTTTCTAAAAATTTTTTTTTTTTAATGTACTTAAACTATTCAAGATTTATATCAGTGGACCTTTTGGAGTTTTTTTTTTCTTTTCAACTAATACCGTAGTGATCTGACATGTATTCGATTCCATCGTTTCCAAGATGTAACCCCCTCCCCTCACGCCATGTGATCTCCGTCTGTTATCTCTATTGGATTCTGTTAATTAAAATAATGAGAATGACATAATGGCACAAGTTACCAACAAGAAGAATATCTTGTCATGACATATCAGTTCAGTTTCACGATGAAATGGGAATAATTACATTTCCTGTATCACTTAAAGACTCAGTCATTGATTAGTGAAAAATAAATTGAATTAAAAGGCCAATTGTCTTTTGACGGCAGCTCCATTCTTTTAAATGAAAATACAGGCGTTTTTCCACAATAAGTTAAATTTTTTCATCAGTTTTGTTTTACAAAAATATAAAGAAAAATGTCACCTCTCTCTGCGTTTTCTATGTTCTACCACATAAATAATGCCTTTCTGAATGGCCTCAAGTGTGATCACTTCAGTCTAGACTTGAAAAAAGGGCTCATTTTAAACAGTTGAAATTTGCACATTGGCACTTCCATCAGCCCTTACAGGGGTCAGATGGGCACTTGAAACTGGTGGGTTATTTACTTGAGGCCATAATGAAGATCAGACATGAAAGTAAAAGAACTCCAGGTCCTATAACCATTTTATCTCATTGAGTTGGTTATAGCGTCTGGAGTCACCTGGCATTGTCCCTTCATTCCGTGTTAAACAATTTTCAAGCAGGTTAACAGTGAATGAGGATCAGCTACACTTAGCCTGCCCCTACTGGAGGTGTGGCTACAGCAAAGATTGCACACTTCCTTATAGCCAATTCTTACTAGGAATGAACATCTGATACTCTCAGCCAATCACAGTCGCCCGTTGCTGCTCTGGTTAATGTTTGTTTATTATACCAAGCAGCACAGACAGGAAGGGCTGCTGGGGACTCACCTTTAATATTAAAACATTAAAATGGTTTAACAGAAGGATGACACTAGGGGACTCCAGACACTATAACTACTTTAATGAGATAAAGCAGTTATAGTGTATACAGTGTCCCATAAATGGTTTGAAACGTGTTTTCATTTCTCTTTTACTTTCTTACTCTACATTGCAATCTAATATTGTTTTCAGGAGTTATGCACAAAAGGGACAAATACTAGAACCACAGATATATCACGTGGTTCATGAATAATGGTCAGCATTGAACACAATAAAATTATATGGATTGGTGGGATTTCCTCACTAACACACTAGATCAGGGATAGGCAACCTTCGACACTCCAGATGTTGTGGACCATAATGCTCTTACTCCCATAATGCTGGCAAAGCATCATGGGAGGTGTGGTCCAAAACATCTGGAGTGCCGAAGGTTGCCTATGCCTTCACTAGATTATGGTCCCTTAATTGCTGAATTTCAGAATTTTGGCTAAAAAGAAGAAGGTTCTCAAATAAGTCAGTGCTAAAAATCGATGGTTTACAAGATGGTTTGTGTTTGTACCCATTGTACGCTGCTTTGGATTATGTTGGTGCTTTAAATAAAGTAGTGATAATAACGTAGTGAAATGTATTCATCTCCATTGTTTTCATGTGACACGAATTCTATTCTTGTCTCGCCTTGTTGTACGCTGTTAATTAGCATAGAAAGGTCTGAGCGTTCTGTCTACACAGCTGATAGCACTTCGCTAATTAAAGAAAGTTGAAATAAAATAAGCTTCTGTCTGCTTACATAGGGAGGGAGAGAGTGGCGAGGGAGACAGAGAGTGGGGGAGCGGAGAGAGAGAGGGAATGAGAGAGAGAGAGAGAGAGAGAGAGAGAGGAATGATTCTAAGAGAGAACATAAAGAGGAAGATTTATCAAAGAGAAATAGTTGCTGTTCTGTTGTAAAGTTCTAAATGTTGCTAGGAATTCCATTGGTTTCTAGGGTGATTCTTCTTTGCCCCAGAATTGCACATGGCTTTACCTCGATAATTCTCTTACATAGTGTAAAAACACCTGGAGGACCAACGTCTAATGGAAACAAATGGAATGAAAAGCTTCATTCCACTGGTGATTGCTCCATTTTCCCAACTTCCCAACTTTGCTCCACTTTTTGATTATACATTTCTAAACTCTCCCCCCCCTCCCATTGTATCCAAAGCTTAAAATAACACTCTGATGTAGTGGTTATGGTGTATGGAGTGTCCTGGCATTGCACCAGTGTAACCAGTCAAACCATTTAAGATGGGTTTGACATCCTACTTGGGTTTCACAGTGCGCCTGTGATTGTATGCCCTGCTTATGGCCTTCTCCTGCAGAGGAATCTGGTTAGCTCTACTGAGCCAAGCAGGGCCATGTTGGACCATGCTGATTGGCTGAGCGTATGTGCCTAGCTGAATAAAGCCACCCGGGCACTCTTATAATATATTCCAGACCGTAGTCTTCAAGAGAGAGAAAATGTCAGGGGACAGCTGTGTGTTCCTGTGTTCCTTGGTTGGGATAGGACAAAAAAATGCTCCATTAGTAATTGAAGAAAAGTGCGTTGGTTGCAACATCTACATTCTATATTCAGAAACCAGTGGAATAAATAGAAATATTCCAGCCTAAACGAGAGATGCTTTTTTTTTTAGATGTTAGCTTGTCTCATTGATGATTTAAGCAGCCATATGATTTCTCCAGCTAGCGAACTTGATTCCTGATAACAATTGCCCATCTGGTTGGAAAGAGATCAAAATAGGGATTTCCAAAAAAAAAAAAAAAAAAATGATTGCAGACCCTTCTTTAACAAATATGGCATCTGAACAGTTTTTTTTTTTCTTTTCACTTTTTTTCCCCTCAGTATTTTTACCATTGTTCAGCACATTTATTTTTCTGCTGACGATATGTAACGTAAATCTTTTCCTATAAGTTTGCCATGGAAATGAATTGATGATGATGATGCTAAAAGCATTGGTTGACTACTGGCTTCTTCCCATTAAATTGCGCCAGCCCTACCTGAATCCTGATGCCGGGTATAAAGTTTTGTGGATAACACAATAATATATAAAACATTGATAGCGTATTAAGGTGAAATTGTAATTCTAATTATAAGGCACTCCTGGTTATCTCCAAGGGACACTCTAAGCACCATAATCACTACAGTTTAATGCAGTGGTTTTGGTGTAAAGAGCCTGTCCCTGTACACTTTTGTACGTAAACATTCCTTTTCAGTGAAAAAGCAATGCTTATACATTGATCTTTAAGAACGCCTCTGCCATTCAAACATTCTTTAGAGTCACAGTCCTTAATAAGGTGCACCTCTGTGAGCAGTGCGATGGAAGCTGTGCATGATGCTTCTATATTGGATAATGTGAGATTATCATTTATCATGAGGATCTCTGCAAGGGTGATGAGGTGGTCAGGTCCCCCTTTACATATATTATATGTAAAGGGGGGCCCATCCAGGAATAAATTGTAATGTTAGAAATTTGTCTTGCTGTATATGTAGAGGGCAGCACTGTTTTTTTGACGTTTGTGAAACTGGCATTTATTACTCAAACCTGACCCTAGCAAAGCCAACTGAAGTAGAATTCATCAGTAATATTTATGAATAATTTAAGGGTTAACCTGAAGCAGTCATAGCTGATCTTGGCACTCCGAATACCAGAGAACTACATTCCCCACAATTCTCGGGCTCAGCAAGACTGGCTGGATTTAATGAGAAATGTAATTCTCAAATGTCTGGAATGTTAAGGTTACATGTAGTGGCCAGGAAATGTACAATAAAAGATAATATAAGACGTCAGAGCGTTGTTCTGCCAAATTTATTCAGACTCATTCATAATTCATTCCTGAAGTGAAGGCAGTCATTGAGCATAGGGAGGAGCAATTAAATCATGGAATACAATTTTACAGTTATGCCATTATTTCAAGAATGAATATTTAATTTTAATTTTAGAAGAGACTTTGGCATTCTTAGCAGTAATTATAGAGCAAACTGGGCCAGTATCTCGGGGCTTCAATATATCATATTGTATATAGTATTTATTTATCAGATTTTTCCATAGACAAAGAGATAACACTGGCAAATTATAAGTAGCAATAAATAAGTTAATGGTAGTATAGTCCAGTATTATACGCAGGAATATTCATCTTCTGACTTTCCAGTCGATGTGATAAATACTTTTTTTTGTGCTGCCTGTTACCTGCAACTAAAAGTGCCACTTCTAAAACTACAGCCACACAAAGCCATTTCAATAGATATTTTAACTTAAAGGGACACTCCACATACCTGAAGCATGTTAGCTTACTGAAGAGCTGTATGCATGAAGAGTGTGTCTGCTCTCTTTTTTATTTTACAAAAAGTACTGATTTCAGCAGAAATTTACACTTTTATAGATTAACTTTGTTACACCCCCACCTAGCTGCCAATCAGACAACTGGTCCTGTTATTTCCTGGCTTCGTTAGCCCTTGCAGAGACTTCTCATTGAGCTGCATTGGGAAGTCTGTGATTGGACAGCCACAGAAAGTCTGGGCGGGGTTAGAAGGGGAGGGTTTTGCAAGGGCTGCAGACAAGAGATCTGCAGATTTTGCAAGCTATTTTAGATCTACCCCAATGATAAAATGCATAATTAAATAAACACACGTAAGCAGACAAGCTTATTTTATTCCAACTTTCTTTAATTAGTGCTTTATTTTGTATTGTCAGTTGAATGTCCCTAAAAACAAATTTAAAATGCCCCAATCATATTTTTCTACCTCTGCTGCCCCACACAAAGGATACTCCCCTTCCAGTGTTGCCAAAAATTTGCACCCCCAAGTTAATATCCCATTTCTCCCCATTTGATATTCCCCAAGCATCCCTTCAATGTCATATTCACCCACTGCAATGCCACTCGCTATCATATCCCGCAATTATCAGTGCCAGGGATATTCTCTCTCAATTCTTTCCCACCTAGGCCATACTCCCCAATTCATGTTTACCAAGCCATTTCCCCTGATATTTTGCCTGCCCTCTCCCACATCCTATGTTTTTTTAGACAAGAATGATCTACTAATACATGAAAAAGGTTCTGGCATTTTTAAAAAAAGTAAGTAAGAAAGAATTTTTAAAATTATGTTACCTTCTCCCCTGCACTTACCAAATATCTGTTTGGGTGGTCTGAAAAATTAAATAATACATAGAATTCTACGCTGCTGAATTTACCTGTATCCTGAAACCGGGGGCCTCCATCTTGGCTCCCTCTCGGTTACTGTTATATGTTCAGCCCTTTGCACCTGGTAGTCAGCATAGAGAGAGCTGGAGAATTGAAAACACTTTTTCTATATCTCCTCCCACACAACAATGCGTGCCTTGACAATGCCAAGACCAAACTGGATTGTGATGACAGTTGCTACATTTTTCATATATCTTTAAAAAAAAAAAAAAGACCATCACAGGAAAAAGGTTAGTACAGGTTGTAGGTGATTGTCATTGTTTGTGTGTTGGTCTGATTCACCCTTTAACATTTATATAGCATTAATTTATGCCATTGCAAAGACTTGGAATCAGATTTTCTTTAAAGCCTTTTACGTAAAACAGATTCTGTGAATTGAATTCCCAAAGAAAAAGATGAATTATCATTTAGATGTGACAAGCAGGCAGGGGATTTGTGAAAAAGCCACAAACGAGGGTAGAGTGAATTAGTGACCTGTACATAAAAGAATTGACTATAAATATAGATAGAGTAACGTAAATTGCAATCAATGTGTTTTATTGATTTGTGTGAATTAGTGCTGCGTCCCCCATGCATGTTAAAGACTAGTGTAGTAGGGTAATGGAGTGTCACTAACAATATGGGTTCGAAGCAATGAGATTACGGCGCTGGGATATTGCGCTTGGTATTTGTATTTTATGCATCTCCGTAGTGTGAATAAATTGAGCCTGGGATCTGTGAGAAGAATAGTAATGGAGAACACGACTAAAATATTTCCTTTGGGGACTGCGTCGGATCAGAACTCAACAAGCAGGACCGTGTTGGTGGGGAGAGAGACTGGAGACGTTAACCTTTTCACTGGCAGAAGGGGTGTACAATGCTTTCATATTCAGACTAAATGTAAAACAAAAATATAAAAGTGCAATGTATTGAAATGTACTATAGAATGAGAAGATGCCGATCTGTGTGGCTGTTTATCATATTGTCTAGAAATGATACATGGATGCAGATATCTAGGAATCTATTTTAGAATCTAGCAATTGGCAATCTTGCAATCATATAATCTATCCATTCACTGTCAATTAATATGTGTATATAATGATCTGTCAATCCATCATATGATCTATCTATCTATCTATCTATCTATCTATCTATATGTAACAGGCCCACAGCATACCTCCCAAGTGTCGCTATTTAGGAGGAACAGTCCCTATTTTAGGAACAAATCCAGCTGTCCCTCTTTTATATCCTAATATCTCTCTTATCCATGTTGTTGGTGTGTCTGATTGTATCACAGAGCTCCACAGCAATAATACTCCCAGTAATATGTCTTTAACTACAATAAAAAATCAGACTGTGTAAATAAGATACATTGTTCTTATTCTAAATAATATTTTAGTCTCATAAATGGCATCCTCCCAATAGTCCAGATTTTTGGGTCGTGTCTCGCCACCCAGCCTTAGTTCCCTGCTGTCCTGCTTTTGGGGGCCTCAGGTAACTCTCCCCAGCAATCATAGTGCAAGCGCATCATTAGAAGTGCTTGTTCAATGTTCAGGATCCCAGGATCCTTCGGGTAGCACTAAAACCGTGCTTCCTGCATGTTCTGCCCTCGGTGGGCTGACTAAATGATTGGCCAGCAGTGTGCTGTGGATTCACAGGATATTTAAATTGCCTTAACCCCTTAAGGACACGACATGTGTGACATGTCATGATTCCCTTTTATTCCAGAAGTTTGGTCCTTAAGGGGTTAATATTACCAATAGACCTATTTGTAGATATATATATATACAGGTGCTAAAACAGCTCTTGATGTATGGGCAGCCCTGATTGGCTGCCCAGCCAGTCATCTTGGCACACGCACACCAGGGTGATGTACCTCCGTTCTGGACGGAGCTTCCTGGACACACTCACCTGTTGCCTCTGCCCCCCACAATGTGGGCAGGTCTTTAACAGCAAAGAAAATGTTATTAAGTAATGAGCATAATAAATAACCTAACCAGGAGAGAAGACATGAAATGAGGATATAATAAATGTGATGTTTAGAGGATATCTAAAAAATGTTAATCGTAAATAAAATAAATTATCTTTTTTTCTAAATAATTAAAAAGCAATTTGGAAAAGAAAGATGGATTAGAGAAGATTATAGATGTGTTATGTATTTCTGTTTTGGATTCCTTTGTTGGATTTTGAGTAATAAAAATATTTTTGTGATTGCGTTTATTTTCAGTGTGACATGCAATGCAGTCAGTATTCCGTCCTGGTTTTAATGAAATAATTTATATAACAGGCAAGTTCTATGACTGCCGATCAGAAAGTATGGCTTTAATTAAATTGAAATACAAAGGCTGACATTAAAAAATATTATGGTTCTTTATATATATATATACTGTGCATGCATACTGTGTGCTTTCTAACATTAACCCTTTCTTTTTCAGGATAACTTTCTGTTCAGCGTTTCTATTTTGAGCGGCATTCTCTGCTCACTCTTGGCTGCAGCAAAAATCATGCTAGGAAGGGTCTTAACAAGCCGAGCGCTCATAACAGATGGTAAGTGACAAAACAGAATTTCTTGGATTCTACATTGTGTTTTATGCGTGCTTATGTGTACATCGAACGCCAATTTATTATTAGTAGTAGTATTTACAGAGCGCCAACATATTCTGTAGCGCTTTACAATTATACCAGGGGGAAGAGGTGAGGAAAGTTCTGCTCAAATGAGCTGACAATTAATGAGGATTTTGTGGAAGGCGGAAAATATATAACAACAGTCGATATATATTTATAAATGGTCAAGGAAACAACTGTTAAAATATATTTTTGGCACATTTTCTGCTTGTGCCGTATCCAGCCTTTTTCAATAAATTAATTTTAAAATGTTGACAGTCTAGGAATAAAGAGACAACAATTCCCTGATGTCCTAAATGGAATGTATCAACCTTTATATCTAGGAAGAATGCTTCTAAGTGGCCCTGGATGTACATCCAACTGCAGCTCGTAACAAACACTTGAAATTGCAATTCTATGTATAAAATCCAAAACCTAATGACAGAAATTCAAGTTTTATAACATGTTCTGAAACTCTCACTCTCCAGTTTACTGGCTGTCTATTAAATGTCAATCAGATATCTCCAAACCAGTCGCCACGGGCACTATCAGTGCTTTAGAATTTTTCTAACATATAGTTAATGAAGGATCCTGGTATATTGCTAAGCAATGTGTGAATAATAACCTGAATACTGGCAAAATTATTTACTAAACAAGTAATTTTTTAGAAGAATTGCAACGGTTTGACCCCTAAGCTGGATCCCAGCGCTATGATGCTCTTTGGTGGTCCAGTGATGCACTTCTCAGCAGTTCATTATCTGAGGACATAAAATGATCACTTTAAACCAAAGGCTGACATTCTGTGCAACAAAAGTTACCCAGAATTGATATAAACCAGTCCGAAACTTTAGTTGCAGGCTGGCTGATGACATCCAAATGATGCTGATGGAGGTTAAATCTGTATTTCATAGCACCAATGACGCTGATGAAGGTTAAATGTGCATCTCATAGCACCAATGACGCTGATATAGGTTAAATGTGTATCTCATAGCACCAATGACGCTGATATAGGTTAAATCCGTATTTCATAGCGCCAATGACGCTGATGGAGGTTAAATGTGTATTTCATAGCGCCAATGACGCTGATGGAGGTTAAATGTATATTTCATAGTGCCAATGACGGTGATATAGGTTAAATATGCATCTCATAGCGCCAATGACGCTGATATAGGTTAAATATGCATCTCATAGTGCCAATGACGCTGATATAGGTTAAATCCGTATTTCATAGTGCCAATGACGCTGATATAGGTTAAATCCGTATTTCATAGTGCCAATGACGCTGATGGAGGTTAAATCCGTATTTCATAGTGCCAATGACGCTGATGGTGGTTAAATCCGTATTTCATAGTGCCAATGACGCTGATGAAGGTTAAATGTGTATTTCATAGTGCCAATGACGCTGATGGAGGTTAAATCCGTATTTCATAGTGCCAATGACACTGATGGAGGTTAAATGTGCATTTCATAGTGCCAATGATGCTGATGGAGGTTAAATGTGCATCTCATAGCACCAATGACACTGATATAGGTTAAATCCGTATTTCATAGTGCCAATGACGCTGATGGCGGTTAAATGTGCATTTCATAGCGTCAATGATGCTGATGGAGGTTAAATGTGCATCTCATAGCACCAATGACGCTGATGGAGGTTAAATGTGCATTGCATAGTGCCAATGATGCTGATGGAGGTTAAATGTGCATCTCATAGCACCAATGACACTGATATAGGTTAAATCCGTATTTCATAGCGTCAATGAGGCTGATGGAGGTTAAATGTGTTTTTCATAGGGTAACACCACACATACAAACTGTAGTCACCATAACAACTTCAAATCACTGAAGTGGTCATGGTGCTTAAAGTAACTATTTAAGGAATATCTTTTGTTATTTTTTTTTTCTTGGCTTTCAAGTGCAATATTTTAACTATATTTATATGTATACATTCTCTAACAATTTTGGACCAAAAAGGGTTAATGCAAAAATTCTAATTTTATAATATATGTTGGTCATCGTGAAGTATTTGAAGAACTAATTACATCTTGGGTTTTTAACAGCAGTGGGATGAAGCTAGCTTACCATAGAAAGCTTACTAAAATGTAATGTTACATGCATGTGTATGTATGTGGGTAGAAAACACGTAAGAACAAGATATAGCCAGATGCCTTGACACAGATTGGCGATAAAGTAGTTGCATTAAAAGTATCAAAATGTCCTTCGATTGATACCTTGGGATGTCTACTTTCTACAAACATATACTTTTGTGCAGTTTGTCAAAAAATATATTTTTTGAATATTTCACATTTGTATTAAAATATATTTTTGGTGCCTACTTTTTTTGTTATAGACATATGGATCATCAAACAAAAGCCTCAAATTCTTTAAAAATAAAAAAAAAATAAAAAATGATAACAGTTTTAAAACAGATGTACGCACTGAGAATGTTTTGATGGGGTTAAGTTGGAGCTGCACGAGCCAGCCCTGGTTGGCTCTCATTATGAACAGAGAAGGAAGCTGCGGCAAGCTCGGGTCGACAGATGTTCAAACTAAACTAATACAATTTTAGTGCAGCCATGGATACAGGCGCATGTTCTCACAGTGGATGGGGTACGAGTTCAATACACAGAGGAATAGCCCTCCAATCTGCATTTGTTGTTGTATAAAGCACTAAAAGGCATCTGGGAATTATTTGTAACCAAAATAGAATCTGCTATGACAGGGCAGCCAAGGCTTAGACTGTGTATTTCTGACCTGGTTGAAAGGATTGCAGGTTAACTGATATAAGAAATCAAAGGGCAGGACCTGTACACAAATATTTAGTAATTACCTTCAGGTGGTGTATGGGAAATTATGTCCTGAACTGCTAAGAGAATAGATCTGTGTCACTAGAGGCACACATCTCCCGTTCTACCAATGGAACAAAATACAATTTTGTTGATATAGAAGGGCTCAACAATCAGACTATGTTCATCATCTGAGACTTAGCAGCAATAATCATATTTATTGTATCTGTGTGTTTATTACAGGATTCAACTCTCTGGTTGGAGGAATTATGGGATTTTCCATTCTTCTAAGCGCAGAAGTGTTTAAACATGATAGTGATGTCTGGTATCTCGACGGCTCCGTAGGAATTCTAATTGGATTCATAATTATGGCGTATGGTGTCAAGTGAGTGACCTCCTTTTCCTGTGGAGTTAGATAACATGATCTGAGGGTTGTCAAGTTATTTACAGATAGACCGTGATCTGAAAATATCACATCTGTCTAGTTACTAAAATAAGCACAGTGGAGAAAGGCTACAATTAGATGTTTAGTAAGTAAAGGTTTAATAAGTTTTTTAATTTTTTTATTTACTCATTTGGGCATTAATTTGGAAGGCTTGTTCCCAGTTCAGCATATAGTTAAGTTTATATTTCTAAAAAGACAACTCTCCCAGCATTGATAGATTAATAAATCAATGAATTGTCATGATATTGTAGAGATCCTGTTCATATTGCAGAGATCCAGACATGTTGCCCAATAAATTCATCTAGCCTTCACCAGAATGTGTACCTTAGAGGAATGACCCTATAACTGGTGGACATTCCCACGTGTCTGGACACTATTGTATTTTAATTTGCCTGGTGAGAGTGATGAAGAGATGCTGGCCTGTTGTTCAGAGGCTCATGGCTGCATCCTTTGTATGAACACATACCTTTGAAAGGAACATGAATTACTATTGTCCATGGTGAATTAAAGAGACGATGCAATATTACATTTTAGAATTAGTTGAGCTTTATGTGGTATATTCTATCATCCTTTGGCTCAGATTACAAAAAGAAGACCAGGAAAAGTCTCATATGTAGTTTTATTCACTCCATCATGTCCCACCAAAATGTGTTGTATGGCTTGTTCAAGAAGAGGAGAGGGAGACACCTGTAGCTATCTTTCTTTCTGCTGTCTTAGAACTATTTGAAGCCATGTTTCCAGTGCCTGGGGGTCACATCCCACTTCCACCAGTTATAGTAATGATACCGAGTGCTTTCCTCTGTGACCTACATTGTTTAATGTCATGCCACGTAGAAAACCCTTTAATCTAGTTTTACACAATTAACAAGCAATATGTCTATTTCCTTCTCACTCAGATTGCTGATTGACATGGTTCCTCGGGTCCGACAGACACGTCACTATGAAATGTTTGACTGAAGAATTTTAAAATGTAAGGAGCATCATACAGACTATGAAATTGTCCATCCGACACCTGCAATCAAGTAGCAGCTATGAGGAATGTGAGCTTTTTCTCCACAGATAATCTGGGCTTTATTGAAACGTCCAACTATACATTAAAAAAAGAAAAAAAAACATGTGACCTGCGTATAAAATAGCACACAGCATTTTGTTACGGTATATTATGTGATGGTAGAACTACTTTTAATCTTACTATAAATGGCAATATTTTACATAAATGGAGCACAAATGCACATGGTAATGACAACAATTTCTATGAAACATTGCGATTCTTTGTAACTATTGCTTCGCGCTAATGTATCGGCCGAATGAACCGTCTTCTGGATACGGGAGATCGGAGAATATTAGATACAATTCTGGATCACACATTGTAAAATACACAACATGTGCTTTAGATGACAATATAGCCAATAAATTATTTTTAGAGAATTTTTTATATATATATCTATATACTGTATGGCCGACATAACTATAGAAAAAAACATAACATAATTCTTTTTTAATTCACCGCCATTAAATAAAGAATTAAATGCATCATAAGTAGAGAAATGCACAAATATCATAAAAGACAAAATACTATTTAGCTTGTACTTAATATTACATTCCCTATTTTGCTTTATTGGGTTTTTTATAATTCCTCACGACACCTTTCTTCATGTTTTGACATAAATAAACAGTGCCTCTAGTGGCAGATTTCTGTATCTCTGCTCACTCTTAGTCAATGGTCGGCTGGCCCAGACTGAGGGCTAACCCAACATTGTCAGTGATTCTACAACTCAAAGACTAGAAAATCCAGGGTTACGAATATCTGCACCATTTAACATGAATCTCTTCATGATGTTCACGCCCAGGACTGTTTTGCTAACAATGCTAATTATAATTTTCTGACACATTAGGGTTAATAATCAATTGCACACATTTTAGCCGCCAGTGGGAAAAAGATCAATTCACACAAGAACAAAACTATTTAGTGGGCACTGGAATTCAAACATGACCTGTCATGACATATAGGTCCTGCTTTAAATTAAAATATTTGGGTTAAAATATTACGTTTCATAGACTTACAGCTCAACATATGACCACAGAAGACACCTGGGAGAATTCTAAATATCTGGATCCATTCTAAGCTCATTCTGTATTTATTCAATAAAGCCACTGTTCGTAGGACATGTTTATTGGATTTGTGTGCCAAATGCGTTTATTCTCTTAGCCATGTGGGCATTCTGCTAATTCTTCTCTTTCTTCACAATAAGTAACACGCTACATGGGCAGATAGCACTGTACATTATTAGGAGCAGTACAGCAATGGAAACATTTAAATTAAACCTCACATATTTTTAAGAACTTTGCAGATTGAATACATTTTTAGATCAGTCTATCTATCTATCTATCTATCTATCTAATATGCATTTTTGGGGCAGATTCTAATAATTCTCCTTTTTCTCCCATTTGTTTTGCTTTATGTTCAAAAAGACAATAGACCCGTCATATATTGTGGACACTGTGACACTTTATAGAGCACAAATATTTCTCTGCGGGTCCCTCTCATAGTTTCACTTAGAAGGCATCGGGGCAAGAGATATTTTTTTTCTACTGCCTTGTAGATCCTCAAAAAACATGTATGTTACAGGAAGTACAGAGCTTCTAGTCTACTTGTCACATTGGAAGTTTGATTACAACAATCCCCACCCCATATAATGTTAACCCCACCTTAGAGAGGTTTTTTATTATAGAGTTAGAAATGTACCAAAGCACATCATATAAACCAGAATATTCCACCTCTCCAATTCATCTGTATTTTTTTTTTATTTACATAACATGGTGCTAGGGTGAGAGAGCTTAGTTCATGGACATAATTCCAAAAATTATGTTCCTCAGGGGCGTGCCTTGACAAAGGACAAAGCGAGCAGTGCAGCATGTGCAGCATGTGCACTGTGTAGACATATAGAACGTTAGCAATAGATTTTATCGTTTATATTTTGTGCTTCTTCTATGGATAATTTCTCCCATGTCCAAAAGACAAGATAAATTAGAAGTGCATCCACAGGGTAGTGTTGCCTTTATCCTACATTACATCAGGACCTCTCACCAAACCTAACCCGTGATAGTTAGGGAGCTATTTATAGACAACATAAAAATTTAAAATGACAATGTCGAGCTCTCTATTCTATAACTTACTAAAATCCAGTTCATGCTCCCTTGGCCCATTGTATTATCTCACCACATGTAATTGTGACATTTCCTGCTGATACTAAAGGTAAGGAAAAAAAAAACAGCACAAGCTAAAAGTTATTACTATTTATATTAAAAACGCAAAGTAAAAATAGATTTAGTATGTAAAGTGCATATGGATTGACCTGTTTGATTGGAACGTCTGTTAGAAATCTATTTCAATATGGGACAAGCACACTTGTACATATCACAGTGAATATTTAAACTTTATTAGCAGTGCGGTAACCTGGTTGTTCGATCAATAATCGCAGTAAGAAAATAACAGGTTGTTCTCTGGTTGTGTACTGTCATAGTGAGAAATATTCTGTAAAATGTTAGAAGCCAAATGTTTGTTAAAAAAAAAAAATATATATATATATCACTCCAAGAAAATGCTGAATATTATTTTTATTTTTACTGTTATTAATATTTAAATGTGTTCCCTGAATGTATTGTATAATATAAGGTCTTCCTGTTCAAACGAGCATTAAGCCTTCTGCTGTGTGGGGGGCATATGGCACTTGCAGAGCAATGTGTTGCCGATTCCACTGCAAGTGAAGGGGGTAAACAAAATTCTTTGACCTTTAAATATTTAATAAAAAGAAAAATAATTTAAAAAAAAAAACCCCAATGTGTTACTGTTTCAATATTTTCTAATAAAGAGAGAGCGATGCACCCTGATTGAGAGACTGAGATATTGTCAGTATGCCACGATCTTTGATCTGTTACTGTGCGTTAAACATGAGCGTTACTTTTTTCACAAAGTGAAAAATGTACAAAAAAATAGTTTTTTGTTAATTTAATCTGAAAACTAATATTGGTAAAAAAAAAAAAATGAACGAATGTCTGATCAAATGGACCACTTAACAAAATCTTGTTTGGTACTGTTGGCATTGTTGCTGTTCTGAGTATTAACACATTTATTAACATGCTTGCACTGTGTTTGTTTGTGACTTGTCTCTGGTGTCTCCATAAGTGGGGTACCAGAGGACAAAAGGACCAGGAAAGTGCATTGTGCATGTGCTTGGAGCCTGTTTGTGAGATTGCTTGTGTGTAGAGTGAGCTGATTGTGGTGTGGTGTTTTGTGTAAATAGGTAGGTTTCAGTTGTGTTGTGTCTGTGGTGTAATATGGCTAGGGGCTGTAGAGAGATGAGATGAGAGAGTGTGTGTTTATATGAGGGCATAGTGTGTATAGAGGCTGTAGTGTATGTTTTTAGTTGATGTAGTATTTGTAGGGGCTGTAAAGTGTGTGTCCACAACATTTGGAGTACCGAAGGTTGTCTATCCCTGGTATAGAAATGTAGTGTGTGTTTGCTCACAGGGGATCTAGTGTGTGCAGAGTGTGTATGTCAGGAATGTAGTGTGTGTAGTTGGTGTAGTATGTGCTTACAGAGGATCTATTGGGTGTGGAGGACCCAGAGTGAGTATAGGAGATTAAGTTTTTTGTGTATCTGCATGAGTGTCATTCTGTGTATCTAAATGTGTTTTTTGGGAGGGGGGTGGAGTTGGTGTAGAGGGCGTGATTGCATGCCAGGGAGTAGGAGGGGGGTGGCAGGATCCAGTAGGCCAAAGCAAAATGCTTGCCCAGGGTCCAATCAATATTAAAGTGTGTGTGTGTCTTGAATGTAATTTGTGTATGGCTGCTCTGCATATGTGAGGGTGCAATGGGTATATATATAATGGGTGTATATGAGGTTGCAATGTGTGTGGGGTGCAGTCAGGGCCATCTTCAATGTTGATTGGACCCTGGGCAAGAATTTTGCTTGGGCCAATTGGACCCTGCCCCCCTTCCCCCACACTCTTTGGCATGCAATCATTCTCTTTTCAACAATATTGTATAACTATAAATAAATATAAACAAACAAACAAACACATTCAGATACATAGAATGACACACAGATACAAACACTGACACACACAGATACACAGGGGCACACAATTACACACATGTAAATACACAGATACATATGCAGACATACATATAGATATACACATAAAGACAGACACGCAGATATACATACAAAGAGATACACATACAGACACATATGCAGACACACAGATACACATACAAGCACACAGATACAAATACAGACACACAGATACATACAAACATACACATTCACATACAGACACACAACTGCACATACAGACACACAACTGCACATACAGACATACACATTCACATACAGACACACAGATACACATACATGCACACAGATTAACAAATACACATATAGACACATTCAGTCATTCACATATAGACACACAGATACACATACAGATACATATACACATACAGTCACACAGATATTAGGCAGTACATAGTTACACAGCTGAAAAGAGACTTGCGTCCATCAAGTTCAGCCTTCATCACATTAGTTTTTTTGCTGTTGATCCAAAAGAAGGCAAAAAAACAAACAGTTTGAAGCACAATTTTGCAACACTGCATTTTGACCCCAGAATAGCAGTCAGATTTATCCTTGGATCAAGCAGTTATTACCCTACATATACATACAGTCACACAGATACTCATACAGTCACTTAGATTCACATACAGACACACATGCAGCCAATGGCTGGCTGCTGATGTTGGCAGTCACAGGATCTCAATCTGCTCCCCTCCTCATTTTTTCCCTCCCGCGCGGTGCCGGTTTTAGCTGGGAGGAAGTGACTGGCTGTCACTTCCTCCCTGCTCTGACATCATAACAGGGGCCGGGTCATGCTGTTAAAGCTCCACAGCGCTGACCAGGCCCCTGAGGATACAATGCTATCAGAGGGCCCTCAGCGTTCAATAGTCTGCAATAGTATCTTTAACGATCATCAATCCTAACAGTAATTATTGGGGACATAGGGTAAAAGGGGGCATCTTCCCTGCTTGCCCAGTGTTAGAGTGCAGTGTGTGTGATGTGTGTGTGATGGGTGCGATGTGTATGTGACGTGTGCAGTTTGTATGTGAGAGGAGCAGTGTGTGTGTGAGGGTGCAGTATGTGTGTGTGTATATGTGAGGGTGCAGTGTGTGTGATGGGTATAGTGTGTGAGGGTGCAGTGTGTGTGTGTGTGGTGAAGTGTGTTATTGTGTATGTGGGGACAGATTGAGGCAAATACATGTATATATTTCTAATTAAAATATACTTTGCACCCTTCTGCCCTCCTTACCTTTGCCAGGAGGAGGGACAGTGCTTCCAAGCCCTGGTGGTCTGGTGGTGAAGCCTTGGTGGTCTGGTGGTTAGTGAACTCTAGTCAGCAGTTCCTGGGGCAAGAGTTCACTTACCCAGACCAGAGCATTGCCATGGTAGCCGCAGTAACGCTCCAACCTTGCAAGAGAAACTCGACGGATCTGCAGGATAGAGCTTTCTCCCCCACCGACTGCATCCATTCATAGCCAGTGGGCCAATGAGAGAGATCTTTGATTTCCCTACTGGCCCATCATGACACACTTGGATAGACCCTGCATGGGTCGGCAGGGGAGATCCTTTCTTACTCCCACCTTATCTTTGCCAGTAGCCATCTCTGCCCACAGGGCAGTTGCCGATTTGCCTGATGGCCAGTCCGGGCCTGGGGGTTATATGTGTGTGACAGTGTGTCACTGTACCCCTCCAGTGTGTATATTGATATTTGATAACTGCATAATATGTAAGTAAATATATATGTATATAAATAGATCACTATAGCACTATTTCCAAAACTAATAAACACACATACGTATGCAGTTGTCAAATATCAGTTTATGGCTTTTTTATACATTTTCATGGCTGTAATATCCTGCTAATAAAGTCATTAAATCAGGCTAGGACAGGCCATCGGGCAAACCAGGCAAAAGCCTGGTGAGTCGCAATGGCCCATGCAGAGACTGCCTTGCTATCTGCCTTTTCAGGCTGATAGCAGGTAGATCAATGGCCAATCAATCACCGGCCTTGTGGCACTTCCTGTTTGTTCCTCCTGCGATCAGGCAGTTTGGAGTGTTGTCGCACTTTACCATGGCAATGCTCGGAAACAACATTGTGAGAGGAGTAAAGTCCGTTTGCAACCAGAGGAGTTCACGCCCCACCACCGGACCACCAGGGCTTGCTAGGTCCCCCCCCCCTGGCCAAAGGTAAGAAGAAAGTTGGACATAAAGCTTTTTTTTTTTTTTGTTATAAAAAAAAAATTATATATAAATTTGCTTGCCATGTCACAATATAGACCCTAGCACTCGTCACACACACTAGACCTCTCACAAACTATACCAAACATACACTACACCACTACACACACTGCACCCCTCACAAATTATACCAAAACATACACTACAACCCTACACACACTGCACCCCTCACAAACTATACCAAACACACACTACACCACTACACACACTATACCTCTCACAAACTATACCAAACATACACTACACCCCTACACACACTGTGCCTCTCACAAACTATACCAAACACACACACTACACCCCTACACACACTGTACCTCTCACAAACTATACCAAACACACACACTATACCTCTCACAAACTATACCAAACACACACACTATACCTCTCACAAACTATACCAAACATACACTACACCACTACACACACTATACCTCTCACAAACTATGCCAAACACACACTACACCCCTACACACACTATACCTCTCACAAACTATACCAAACACACACTACACCCCTACACACACACTATACCCCTCACAAACTATACCAAACACACACACTACACCCCTACACACACTATACCCCTCACAAACTATACCAAACACACACACTATACCCCTCACAAACTATACCAAACACACATTACACCCCTACACACTATATCTCTCACAAACTATACCAAACATACACTACACCACTACATACACTGCACCCCTCACAAACTATACCAAACACACACTACACCCCTACACACACTATACCCCTCACAAACTATACCAAACACACACTACACCCCTACACAAATTATACCCCTCACAAACTATACCAAACACACACTACACCCTTACACACACTACACCCCTCACAAATTATACCTCTCACACACACACACACTGCACCCCTAACCATAGACACTACATTCCTTATACACACTCTGGATCGTGTACACACACTAGATTACCTATAGACACACACTGAACCACCTAACCACACAGTCCATTCCTGACATACACACTTTTGATCCCCTATGCCCAAACTAGATTCCCTGTATGCAAAAACAAACACTCTCTACAGCCCCTACACACACTACATCATCTATACATACATACATCACAGTGTCTAAGCACTCACTCGCTTCATCTCCTATACACACAGTCTCTACAGGTCCTAGCCAGACATTTTAGACCACAAACAAAACACAACTGAAACCGAAACACAAAAACACCACAACACAATCAGCTCACTCTGCGCAAACAATCTCATTTGCAGCCTCCAAACACATGTACAGTACTTTTTGTTGGCCCCTTTTGTCCTCTGGAATCCCACTTATGGAGACACCAGAGACCAATCACAAACACAGCGCAAGCATGTCTTTAAATTTGTTTGTGCTGAGCAGAACAAATGCAGGGTCTTTTTCTCATGCACGGGTTCTTCAGCAGGGCTGTGCGCATGGGCTGCCCTGGAAGAGTATTGAACCAAC